ACACCCAACCCCACTGTTACCACACAAGTTACCAAGGCCTACCTAGGTTTGCCTGCCCTGTAGAATACTGTAGCATTCTAACTTTCTACTTTAAGTAATACCTCGGTGCAGAGTTGCACTTGATACGCGCTAGCCAGGCACAGAACGAGCATGGTATCGCTGTAATTTAATAATTCGTCGTTATTATGCCGGACTGGCTCAGAAAAGTTGATGTCGACGACGACGCAATTGGAGAATGCCAATGGCAAGGTACGGCAGTGGTAAGGCTGACGGCACCTGAGACGGAGAGTGTTTGGTAAGGAAGGTACGGCATGTCTTAGGTCGCGGCTTCCGACTTTCGACTTTCCCACCTAGGAATCCCTCCCTTTGCCTAACACAGCTTTTTCTTCGTTCACTGACCTCGTCTCATGTTCCTATTCTCTATCATGATCCTCCTCCACCTTCCTGCCCGCAATTACACCCGAAGCACTGCGACAAGACAAGGTCGGGCCTAATTCGGGCAAAGGCCTATCAATTGGCCAGGCGGCACACGGCTTGCTCTTCTCTTCTTTGCCTTAGCATCACCGTTAACAATTGACGGCGTCGTCAGCAACATCACTGCCAAGACCCATAGCGGCTTCACGACTGTCGGGCCTTTGAAGGGCCTGTGGAGGCCCCGGATGCTCCAAAGATAACATGCGGCGCGGCTTGTGACAGTCTCTTCCCGTCTCGTCGCCCTCCTGGAGAGGGGGCTCGACTGGCGAACGAGCGTTTTCACAAGCCTGGAGTCCTGCATGTCCTTCATGGCTTATAGATTGAAGACGCACCAGCCCGCACTGACCCGCCCAATCAACGCAAACCCAAGGACATCCGACTGTTCTTTGTGAGCCCGGAGGAAAGGTCAGAGCAAGGGATCATATTCACCATTAATCTTGACTCCAGTGTTCCGGGTCTCAAGGTCGGAATTCGAAAAAATCGGGCGACCATCCAGTAGGCGTAAGTACGCTGTTGGAGAGCTCTTCTACTTTCAAGCCATGCTTTACAGACACCAGCCAGTACCGCAAGGAACATGTTTCCCTAGGCATGCTTTGACTAATCACTCGGTAATAGCTAACCGACATCGCAATAGACTTGGTCTAACTAGACACGTTTTCCTTGGAGCACTTGTTTATTATCGGAGCACTGGCCATAGGCTTCTTCAGCCTGTTGTCATCCACTCGCCATACTTATGTCAATGCTTGGTTGGGTTTCCTTGAAGGTCTTTTGTTTGGGCAGATTCCACCAGCCTGAAGAGTGTGCTCTAGTACATGAATCTTAACTGCGGTTTCTCCCAAGACTTTGTCATCTTCTTCGCGGCATGATGCGGGCAATCGGCAATGGAAGGATGTGGCCAGTGTCCACCAACCAATTCCTAGATTGCCCCTGCAGGTCTACTCCTCTGTATGCACGCAAACGAATCGGAATACACCACATGAGCGAGCATTGTTACGGCCAATCCACGTTCCAGCCAAACTAGTGGTCCTGGTTGCAACTTCTACACTACCCAGCCGTCATCAGAGACCAAGGCGAGTACCGTGAATCAATGGTATTGGAGGAGTGCCTATACATCGTTAGCAGAGACCAACCAGAACGTGCAGATGTCCCGAACACGGCATCTCATCTCGGTGCATGTTGCCTCGCAGCGTCCTGCATACCTTGACAGTAACAACCGCCTCCTCTCACTCCACGACGAACTGCTATGAGATCGAGGGCCACCGGGTGCGGACCTGCATTGTTGACATTCACGTGGAACTTAAGTATATGCATCACGCGGCTAAATGACACGGCCATTCTCCTTCATTTGTACGATCGTTCAATATATCTCTGCGAGCGGGACAAGAAACAATCTTCCCGAGGCTGGTAATTGGACTCGTTCGCCCAGCTCAGGCCGACAGGTTCAACGCCAGGCATCATATTAATATCAAGCCGCCCAGGTGACGGTAGGTCAGACCAAAAGGAGAGGGCAGCACTGTCATTCGATTCGCCAGCAAGGATATTATTGTTATAACGGTCATGGAACAGAGATGTCATGTAGGCAGTCCTTCGATGCCCTTGGTGTCTCTACCAGACAGTTTATCAATTGGGACCTATATGGCAGAGGAGGATCATCATGAGCGCGTCTCTGGCGACCTATGATTTGGGTAGGCGCCTCGGACCCGGTTCCTACCATCGGCAGTGATCCATGATGCTCTGCATTATCACCTCAGTTCACCGTCCACTCTGGGGCAGACATGTTCTCAAGCATGCAGTGAGGTGACTGTGTCATATGGATCATCGGCAGGTGTTTGCCAAGTGTGTTGCACCCGTCAAAGTAAACCGGGCCAGTCGGATCTTTGCTGCAACTCCCAGTGGAGATGCCTTCAGTCATGGCCAAGCGGCTACTCCGCGACATAGTGCCTCGAAGACTGTTGCTAGGGGGAATGCAAGAGAGTTTGACTGTTCCTCCACGCATGAATAAGATACTCTTCATGTATCTAACTGGTAACTCGATACAGTACGGATGTTCCACGCTTGGACAAGGCGTTAATGTGTTTTTTACTTGTTAGGACTAAGCCCGAAAATGTTCTTTGGCTGATGAGAATGCCCATTGACGATTTGTCATTCAGAGAATCCATTCTCTTGAAAGGTCATCGGCGCATCAGCCCCCTTTCGTGATATCAAGTTCGCCCCCGCAGTTTAACAGTCGAAGTTCCAGGGGATAGTCACTAGAGATGCATATGCGAATCATAACGCTTGCATACCCAAAACGGCTATATCACTTGAGCTTGCTGCGTACCTACTCACCGGGTTCTTCGGAGTTATACTGGGAGTCTCTGGCTTCGGTCCTTTGTCAAGAGGCGACGCTGTGCTGCACGTTGCTCTGCTTGATAAACTACTATACGTCATTTCCTTTGAGTTATGAAAGCACAATGGACTCCCTTGAGCGGTATTCTTGAGTACAGAGAGCTCCGAGACGATTGCAATGCTCGAGCGCCATGCGTTTCTCGCACCTTTGTGCATGACCGACTGGGTTTTGAAGCTATTCTAAGCTGGAATTTGTGCCGATTGCTCTATTCTTGGTGATCGTGGATCCTCATTTGGTCATCCGACTCATCTTGTGACCCACGCACCCGGCGGATAAAAGCGATAAGCCGACTCACCAGCTTAAAGGAAGGCATGACTTGCTATTTGTGGACAGGGGAGATTTGGCATTCCGGACTTCAGCCATGATACTCTTCCGGTCTGTGATTTCCCCATTGTGAGTCCTTGCACCGACCTAGCTAGCTGCCCAAATTACTCTCGCCCACACGTCTCGCTACTTTTCCACGGTATCAAAGTCATTTGAATGCTCCAAGCTTATCCTGTGCCACATATGTGGCTGATGGGAGCCAGTCAGCGACAGGTGTTCCTGAGAAGATGCCGTCCTGCATGGATCTATGGCGCAGGAACATTGCTCTCTTCTGCCGGATTCGGCATGTTTGATGGACCTTCCAGGTTCCGCAGAGTCTTTTGCCTCACTGTTTTCCAATCAGCTGACGGTTCCTGGACAGCACTAGTCAAGGTCCAGCCGCTGCCATATGATCAGCGAACAAGCTTGACCCACCCGAACTTGGCTAGCTGCCACTGGGCAGCTATGAGGGACAAGAGACATGTATCGTGAACTTCCATCCGGTATACCCTATAACAGAGGTTTCCGGAGGCTGGGAAACGGGACGTTTCATACGTTACACAGGAAGAACGCGCTCTCGACGCGAGGAATGGATGGACTGGCGAACCTGGCGCCCGTACTCGCTGGCAAGCCCACACAGCTTCCTTTAATGAAAGATTAATGAATAGTTCGTGTCAAATAGGAGGCGGACGTGTCTATTTCCCTGTATTGCGGCTTGTTCGATGTAGCTTCCCTGCTGATACTCTTCGCTAGAAGCATGGAAGCCCAAATTACGCGGCTCCAAAACGCAGCTATGAGCAGGGGGATAGCACCAACCTCCTCCGTGGACCTAGACAGTGACGAGTCGATGATGCTGTCGTCAAAGCACATCCGTGCTAGGCCAGCTGACGAGCTTCCGGCTTGCGCGAGCAATAGCCTGAGGTCGCGAGAGCGGAGTGCGGAGGGGGAAGGCGGCTTGGCCGGTCAAGCCCGACGTTATCGGAGGATGATATTTCTTAGGATGGCGCGGCTTCCCCATGGGGATGTCTCCGCGTGATTTATGCCATGATCAGGCAGGATTCTTCCCCGCCGCGTCGCGAGTTGAGTTGGTCGATGCGTTGGCGCTGGCGTGGCCGGTGAGCTTAGTGAAGTGCCTTGCCCTTCTGAAGCTCAAGTGTTCCCCGTCTGTCCGAGCTAGTATGAAGCTAGCCATGACGTCTATTAGTCCGTCCTCCTTGTAACTTTTGGGTCTGGGGACATTCACTCGGTTGCAACGGTGAGAACCCTGGTCAGTCCATGAAAAAAAACAATAAATGTCTGCTCTGGTCTTCAAGAACATTCATCACGTGAGATCAACTCCAAGTTCTTATGGAGCTCCCTGAGTAGTAGCGCCGTCTAACATTGCTATCAGATAGTCTAATATTGGTGAAACTAGTATTGTTGAAATGTGTTGATTGGATAGTGAAGCAAAGTCATCTATTAGCAAGTCGTAGCGTATCAAATATTGAGCAACAATATATCTTTTGAGGGTTTAGATCCTTTGCAGCTCCACCGCACCTCGAAGTCGACCTGGTCAGCGTCATCTTGATATGTTGGAAGCAATAATCTTGAAGTCGAATTGAGCGCCAATTACTATCTAATGGTCCTCGTCAAATTTCTGTATTGAGATGATGAACCTCTCAATCTAGGTTGAACTTGATATCTGCTCTAAGTCAAACACCTGGTAAATAGTTTCTCAACGCGATAGGGCTTCAAAAATCTAACCGGATCTCGCCCTCATGACTCTCCTTGATGCGCTATGTTCGTTTCCTGCAGCAACGTGGCCCTTTATGAGTTCTCAGAGACAATTCGTCATCTAATAGTCGTAGAATCCCTTTCCGCTCTTCTTCCCAAGCCACCCAGCATCAACCATCTTGGCCAGGAGTACACTAGGCCGATACTTGGAGTCACCTGTCTCGGTATGCAGCACCTTCATGATGGCCAAACACGTGTCCAGGCCGATAAAATCAGCCAACTGCAGAGGTCCCATGGGAACATTGGTGCCGTTCTTCATGATAGCGTCAATAGAGTCTCGGTCGCCAACGCCAGTCTCAAGGCATATAACGGCCTCGTTGATGTACGGCATCAGGATACGATTCGCCAAGAAGCCCGGCGAGTCTGCAGAAACCGAGGGGATCTTTCCCATGGCCTTGCAGAAAGCAACGGCTCTCTCGAGCGTCTCCGGGCTGGTCTGCAGGCCGCTGATGATCTCGACGCCCTTCTGCACCGGAACTGGGTTCATAAAGTGGGTTGACACAACGCGCGAGCTTGCGCTTGTATCCCGAGGGTCCTTGGTCGTAGCGGCGGCTATCTTTGTGATGGAGATTGACGACGTGTTAGTGGCCAAGATTGCATGCGGCGGGCAGATTTGCGCCAGCTTGGAGAAAATGTCAAACTTGAGGTTCGGGATCTCGGGGACAGCCTCGATCACAAAGTCCACGTCTGAAAGGCCATCAAGGGACACGCTGGGAGAGAGCAATGAGCGGGCGTTGTCTGCCTGCTCTTGAGTCAAGCGCTGTTTGGAGACATCTTTGGCGAGAAGCTTCTCTGCATCCAGGGGTTAGCAAAGTAGCCCACTTCACCCTCCGTGAGTGCGGACGGCGAACCGCCAATTGACCTACCTGCAAAGGCCAGGCCCTTGTCAAGAGCTCCCTGAGACGTGTCGACCAGTGTGACAGGCACTTGAGCTTTCTGAGCCGCTACAAGAGCTATTCCCAGACCCTGTTGTGAGTGTTAGCCAGATCATCCCCAGAGGCTTTTCACATGCTCGGCTCACCATCTGGCCAGCGCCAATGACACCCAGCTTCTTGACATCTGTGGCATTGGTCGAGCTGTACCGCCTCAGTTGGAGCACCAGCCTGGAGGCTTGCCGTCTCCCAAGAATAGAGAATGGCATCTTTGCTTGTATATGGAGATTGCACAAGTTGCGATGTTGAAGCCGAGGATTCGGAGGTGAGATCATCTACAGCCAGTGGAAGCTCGGTTAACCTCGGCGTGGTAGTGGGGCCTATAGCCGTGAGCGAGGTGCCATTGCGGAGAGTTAGTGTGCTGCGGGTAATACCTGGGCGTACCTTAACTGCACTTCTGCTACCACAAAGCTAGCAGCAGTACGTCACTCGGGCGGGTGGTCCTAACTTTAATGGACGGGCGCCAGTGTCGCGCCTCAGACCCCTGGAGAGGACGCGAAAGACGCGTCTCATTGAGGGAGCTGGCCCGCCCACCAGCAAAGGCAGGCCCTGTCCACATCGCACTTCGCCAACACCTCGAAATCTCGAGAGCAAGTGTTGTTGTTTTTAGCATGAATTGAGGCAATCCAGACCCGATTGCACTGTTCACCAAAAACATGGAGGCTGTTGATAACAACACCGATACGGTGCATCCCGAGGTTCGGGCGCATATCAACAGCTTGGTGTCTGCCGTAAGTCTCTACCAAGCTATCTATAGCTTGAATATTTACAATTGCACGTTGAATACTGACTGACTCCTCTTTGCATGTAGCTCGGTGGATTCAGTGCCGATGATGATGGCCAGTACAGGCTCGGCGATGACGCGCTCGACGTCCTACGCGACATCAAGAAATGGATCCGGTTCTACGACGAGAAGACGAACCGCATGGACGTTGCCCGGTGTCTGGCCGAAGCGAATCTAGTTGGCGGTGACCTGCTGCATATCTTGGCAACATGGCCCGAAAATGCCACGGATAATCGCTTCAAGGCTCGCATTGCCCTTGCGTGCTTCGAGATCATGGCTCCGCTGACCTGGCCCATCGAGAAGAACAAGGAGGAGATGACGGTCAACCACCACCGGCACATGCCCGTGCTACAGCTGGCCCAGCTGGGCTATAAGCGGGACATCATCAACTTTGACAGCGCACAAATACTACGCTCTGTTGTGCGCGTTGCATTGCCGTCAATGGCTATCCCCGCTGGAGACAGGTCGCCGAGAGACCAAGGAATCATCAGGCTCATGCTATACTTCTTGCGCAATATTGCTATGATTACCCCTCTGCCAGGTCTCAAGTACGACGGCGATGAGTCTCAGATATCCCGGTCTGCCACCATTGATGCGTTTTCCTATCAGGACATCCTCCTGACGGTCTTGACAATCGCCTCGAATATGGGTGAGGACTTCAGGACGGAGGATGTCGTGGTAATGGAAATCATTTTCCACCTCGTCAAGCGCGTCGACGTCCACAAACTTTTCCTCAACGAGCAGCAACTCAACAAGGCTAAAGCGAACGAGCTGGACGCCATGATGAAAAAGGAGGCTGCCATGCTACGATCATACAACCGCAAGGCGCCGACGAGGCACAGTCGATTTGGCACGATGCTGTGGGTAGATAGGGGAGATGGCAAGATGTCTTCTCTCTCCGGCCAAGACGCTCTAGCAGATGCTGCGAGTAGGGAGCGGAAGATGGACCAGTCTAAGACCTTCAAGCCACCAAGGCGGGCCAGGAAAGAAGGAATGGAGCCGAAGGACCTTGGTCCTCCCGTATCTCTCAATGCCAGAGCAAACGACCAGCTTCGAGGCTTTGTCGAGGAATTCCTCGACTCCGGCTTCAATCCTTTATTTCAACATGTGCGCCAGACCATTGTGAGGGACGCCCCGCACCTCATGGGCTATCACCGGGCACAGTTCTTCTACCTTGTGGCTTGGTTCCTGGAGGCAGAGCGCGTTAGGCAAAAGTCCAACAAAGGCCAAAAGGCTCCATCGCAAGACGACGTGAGCACATACAACTTGGTCGCCGGTGTTCTGAACCAGGAGACGTTCATCGCCCTTATGTCTGCTTTGTACAGATCACATAATCAAAATGACTGGCCAGAACTCATCGCCGTAATGCGCTGCTTCACGCAGATTCTCTTGACGGTGCAAGAGATGTTCGAGTCTGGGAATGAGGAGGATCAGGAAATCGCAGAGAACACTCTCAACCGACTGTTCTATGAGGAAGCAACCCACGACGCGGTGGCCAACATTGTACGGCAGTACAAGGATCAAGGCTTTGAGTACCTCGATGCCTGCACTGAACTGCAACACACATATCTACGTATTCTAGAGTCGTACTCCAAGCAGAATGTGGACCTACAAGTTCGCTCGCGAAAGCGCACCAGACGCAAGAAGAAGGCAGACAAAGCCGCCGGGATTGACAACGATGAGGATAACCCTGAGGATGATGATTCCGCAAATGACGAAGCCAATGCGCAGAAAACAAGTCAGGAGCGCAAATTCGACTTCAAGCGCTTCGCGAGCAGATTCGCCGCCCAGGGTTGTGTTGACACATTTGTCAAGTTCACCATGTTCTACAAGGACCTCAACGAATCTCAACTGAAGCGAGCTCATAGGTTTTTCTATCGTGTAGCTTTCAAGCAGGAAATGAGCGTCATTCTTTTCCGGGTAGACATCATCCACCTCCTTTATAACATGATCAAGGGCCCCGAGCCACTAGAGAAGAGCTCAGGAATGTACAAGGAGTGGGAAGAATTGGTGAAGCAGATCATTAGGAGATGTGTACGAAAAATTGAGGAGCGACCAGCACTCATTATTGAGATGCTGTTCTCCAAGATCAACAGCACCGCCCACTACCTCGAGTTTGGCTACGAAAAACAGACATTGACTACCTCACATGCCAGGCCCGCTGCGGAACTGGAATTCCGTCAAGTGGTCGATCCTGAACGGCAGATTGCCATCGCAGTCGGCGCTCTACTGGACAGAAATGAGTCCGACCACATTGATTGGGTCAAGAAGCAGCTTGCCGCTGCTGAGAGTGAACGGCGAGCATGGGAGGCGGCGGAAAAGGCAATGCCATCCGTGGAAGGTGGCGAAGCTGGAGTTGATGCGGAAGGCGCAGAGAAACCAGCAGAAGATACCCCAGCGAAGGAGATGCCCGTTCACAGTAAGCTACCCCCTTGAAGGAAATGCCCAAGTCTATTCTAACAGTAATTACAGCTATCCATCCCGATGACAATGCTCGCCGCACTGCCATGTTCAAGAATTCATATCTCCGTCTGCTCATGAAACTCGTTGGCTTCGAGCGTCTGGCTTCGACAATTGATGAGTCGCTAGACTCTGTGTGGGTAATACCTGCAAATCTCTCTGCAGGCCAACTCAAGGAGTCCCTTGACTTCATCAACAAGGCCGAGTTCAGCCCGCCTACTTTTGAAGGCAATTATGATGCCGCGGCGCAGCTGCGCCGAAAGACGGCACCTCGCAAGAAGGCTGAGTATGATGATGACAATGACGATGCGGATGATGGGTTCTTGGATGACGAGATGCTCTTCCCACCTAATAGTGCGGCGCCGTCAAGCAAGCCTGCAGATGCTCTCGCCAAGCTGAAGAAAGCGGCACGTAGAAGGCGTGGGCAAGCCTCCGATAGTGACGGAGATGACGCCGAGCCGCTAGATGACGAGGAGCTCGAGGCGCGCAGAAGGGCGCGGCGCCAAAGAGAGCTGGAGAAGGCTCGCAAGATCAAGTCTGAGCTGTACGTTCACGCCAGCGATGACGAGACGGACGACGAGCGTGATCGCGAATTCTTCGAGCGGGAAGAGGCCATTCGGAAGCGTGTAAAGGAAGCCCTTCTCAGCGCACCGACGGAGGTGGCGCCCAAGGAGAAGGGCAAAGGGAAGAAGAAGAACAAGTCGGTTACGGCTCTGTTAGGGAGCGATGACGACGACCTCTTCAACTCGACGCAGGACTCACCCGCGCCGAAACAAAAAAAGAGAAAGTCGGGGCTTCTTGAAGACTCGAGCGATGAGGATGCAGATGATAATGTTGAGCATTCATCTCCGCCCAAGTCTTCAGCTGCTCCTGCCAAACGTCGGAAAACAACAACGGCAGGCTTCTTGGACGATGATAGTGACGACGAAGACGACGCCGAGTTTACTCAGTCTAGTGGAGGAGAGGATGAGGATGCTGATAAAGACGCAGCCCAATCGGATGATGAGATGGACACGGACGGCACGCCACCGTCGTCTGAGCCACCCCTTACAGCTGCGAAGAGGGCTGCTCAGGAGAAGGCGGTCACTGCAGCCACCCGTTCACCCCTTAGTGAGAAGACTATAAATACTACAGTCGACGTAGACATGGATGATGAAGACATGCCAGTCACCGCGCCGGTCAAGGCAAGAGCGAGAGCCAGGGCAGCGCTTCTACTTGATAGTAGCGATGAAGAGTAATTTCTTTGGTTCGGGAAAAGGAGTCGAACTTGGCGTTCTGGCATATATTGACAATAGGTGTTTGGCTAGGTAGCATCACGTTATGAATGACAAGAGGTAGAACATAAGGTATATCAAGCATCGGTAACATCAATCCTACAAGATTTATTGTACATTTGCCTTGTGACAGACCATCGAAATTCTGGAAATGGGTATCAAGATGAAAGTAATTTCGTAAGCGTCCTAATCTACTTATGATCTTAGAGATGGCACCCCTTATCATTATTTCACCCGTTTGTCAACTCGACGACTGGTTTTGACCCGCTTCGGTGGAGGTGGATGCAACGGGATCATTGTTGTTGATCCAGGCACGACTGTTCGACTTTTAGGCTTCTGCACAGAGCCGCTTGTCGGACAGGCTTGCTAATCTCGCCGACGACTACGGCTCCGGTCTCGACGATCCCGCCTGGAAGATAGGCTCCTGTCCCTCCTTGGACGTCGAGTCTCACGATCACGATCGCGATCACGGTCTCGGTCTCGATCTCGCTCGCGATCGCGATCCCGGTCCCTGTCCTTGTCTCTCGATCTGTCCCTGTCTCGGGCACGACTCCGGCTTCTTGGGGAACGGCTTCGACGTCTGTCGCGTCGGTCCTCCCTATCCCTATTTCTATCTCTATCGCGGTCTCGATCTCGGTCTCGATCACGGTCACGGTCAAGATCTACGCGATGACGATCACTCCTCCGGTCTCTGTCCCTGTCGGCGGGCACGTACCGATCAATTTCGTCTGGCTCACGTCGTCGCTTGACATCAGGAGACCTGTCACCCCGTGGTCGGTCATCTATGCCAGGGACAGGCATGCCTTTCTCCCTAGCCTCCCGCTGAGCAGCGAGATAGGCCTTAGCTTCTCGCTCCCGCTTTTTGACTTCCTCTTGTTTCCAGGCCTCCATTTCGTCCTTATCCAAATGAGACGGCGGTCTTGCAGACGTCGGTCGCGAGCGTGATCTACTCCTTCTATCTCGATCTCGATCCCGTTCTCGAACGCGATCTCGGTCATTGTCCCGACTTCTTGCTCGGCGCGTCGACCTACTACGGTCTCGCCGGATAGATTCTCGACGATCTGGATCACGCCTGTCTCTATCTGGACGGTGGGAGTCGATACGGTCAACGCGGCGACGTGAACGACTTCTTTCCCGGCGTCGGCTTCTATCACGGGAGCGACTCCTTTCCCGACGCTCAACTCGTGGACGTGAGCGGGTCCTATCCCTTCGATCCAACCTTGCTCGCGAGCGACTTCTCTCTTTCCTCTCCGCCCTAGCAGGAGGTGATCGGCTGCGCTCTTTTTTCTCCACCTTGACTGGAGAGCGCGCACGTTCTTGCTTTTCAGGTTTCACACGAGATCGGCTCCGCTCTCTCCTTTCGGTCCGTGCAGGTTCACGGCTACGGCTACGCTCCTTTCGGTCATCACGCCTATCAGTGCGCAACCTGGACCGACTCCGTTCGCGCCTATCATCCACTCTCCGTTCGTCACGACGATCTCGATCAGCTCTACCACGAGATCGACTTCGCTCTCTTCGGTCATCACGTCTGTCGGTCCTGGGCCGTGAGCGACTCCTATCACGCCGACCCAAACCATGTCGAGAACGACTTCTTTCATCGCGCCGGGTGCGTGGAGAGTTTGATCTCCTTCGACGGTCATCAACACCCCTATCATAGCCACGAGGCCGGTCTCGATCTCTTTCTCTGTCTCGGTCTCGATCTCTCTCACGATCCCGGTCCCGGTCCCTGTCCCTGTCACGAGAACGCTCTCTTTCCCGGTGGGAGTCCCGCCGATCCCGCGTCCGTGACGGACTCCTAGTCCGTCGCCGTTCATCCTTTGCCTTTGAGTCTTTGGACTGTGTGACGTCCTTGGATGTTTGGGTATCTCCTGCCGGTTTAGCGTCCTTACTTGTGCCTGAGTCTTCTGCCTTTTGCCTAGTGCTAGAACTCTCGGTAGATTTCTTCGACTCTGACACCTTCGGAGAGTCGCGGCGAATAGGCTGAATGGCTGAGGCAGGCATCGTTTTTCTTGGTGGAGGCTTCAGAGCTTCGTCAATCTCCATTTCGGGCTGTTTCGAAGACACGCGGTTGCTATCACGTAGGAGATCTGCCAGTGCCTCTTCTTCCAGCCTAGAAAGTTCCTCCTTGGATAGTTGCTTCTTGACCTCTTCTGGTCGGCCTCGACTGTCTTCGCGGTCGCCTCTTCGTCTCCGATCTCTTGAGCGATCTCTTTCACGGCCGCGACTCCGATCACGGTGCCTATCTCGGTCTCTTGATCGATCTCTACGACGGTCTCGACTGCGGTCGCGATCGCGCTCTCGTTCTTTTTCCTTCTCTTTTTCCTTCTCGCGCTCTTTCTCACGCTCTTCCTTCCGCTTGGCTTCTCTTGCTGCTCGCTCCTCTTCGCGCTTCTTGGCCTCGGCACGCTCTTCCCTTTCACGAATCTCCCTCTTCTTTCGTGCAATCTCTTCTTCCATCTCACGGAGCTCTTGGGCTTTCTTCTCTCGCTCAGCTCGCTTTGCAGCCGTCTCTGCAGCGTATTCCTCGTCGGTCTTGGAGCCCTTGATGCGCTCTTGTTCTGCAGCCTCCTCACCAATTTCAGCCCGTCTTAACTCGCGAATCCGTGCTTCAATAGCGCCCGAATCTATCAGGCTCTCAAGCATAGTCTCGGCCTTTTGGTACACGCCGCTTCTCTCCAGAGCTCCATCGATCAGAGCTGCTGCCTTGCCTCGGTCGAGCGTAAGTAGTTGTGACGGATTTCGCTCGATCTCCTGCTCCGCGACTTCAAGAATAGATTTGGTGACTTGCTCCTCGTAGTCCTGTATACGGCAATGTAAGCAAATGCAAGCACTTCCCAAAAGACATCTGCCAAGCATTGCACGCTATATGGCCAGCCGTAAAGCTTGAAACATCCAACGGGGTTGAGTTAAAAACACGTACGCTAGCCTCAAAGGTCTCCCAAACTTGTTTGCGAATAGCATCATAGCCTCCCTTCTTTTTGAAGCTATGGGCAAGGCCCTCAATAGCAGAGCGCGTGGCAGAGGTGAGAGGCAGATCGGACGCCTTGAACTTCCGTGGGGTGGGTGCGCTCCCATTGGGCCCTGCTGCCGGCGCGGCGGGTTGCTCTGTGGTCGAAGCCATCGTGCTGCTGATGGCCGCAGCCATTTAGCGCCCTCAGTTACGGCGGATGAAGCTTCGAGCACAAGTGGCTTAGAAGCGCCTGACGACCCTAGGCGGTCAGAGTAAAGACAATACGTCGAAAGACCTCATGTGCAGTTGATGCTCTCGAAAGTCGGGTGTGAGCAGATGAAAATGGTGTAACTTTTCAATATTGGCGAAGTGGACGAATCTGAAGGGAAGGTTCATGTTCGCGAATGGTGATCGACTGGTTCATTAGTTACTTGGGCAGGGGTACCAAATTTCAGGTGGGTCGGGCGCGCATGGGTCGACTGCAGGGAGGTGCAAGGCGCGTGTGGGGTCCAAGCTTCCCAGGAATCGGCAAAACCTCAAGCCGAGAGAACCGCGAACCAAGATCCGTCGATTAAACATCACCACCCACTTCCGGCTGTGATCAATTGACGACGAGCTCATACACCCACCAAGCCACTCATTCGAGGTTGAGAGACACCTGCCAGAGCTTCGCTACAGGCTCTGCTCTCTCCTGCAATCGATTTCCCCATTCACCAAATATCACCACAAGTCAATTGGGTCAAAATGGTGTCAAGAGTCCTCTTCTGGACCGGCTTCGGTACGAAAGCTCTTGCTTTCCTCTTGCGCAGAAGATGGCAACTACGCCAGTCTCCTCGTGCATGATTTCAATTTGTGAATGCTCAAAACTAACGTCATGATAGGCATTGCCACCCGCGCATGGCAACTCGGACTGGAGATGAGACCAATGCTGAATAAAGAGTCATTATGGGTGTACCCCATCTTCGCGGCGACTGGTGCGAGCTTTGGCTACTGGCTGCAAACTGTCGACGAAAGGCAGACGTCAATTCTAAACGAGAGGAAAGCGGCAATTCTCGAGAAGCGAGCAAGGAGGGCACAGCGCGAGGCGGAGGCTACTAGCTAAGAGGCGCCTGGATCATGGAACGTCTGTACATATATCCCCGAGTGGGACGAAACTTCAAAATGAAGGTCATGCCATATTATAGAGCGTGGGTCAGCCAACAAGTCTATTCTCGGCATGCAGATGCATGAGCAGCGTGACTAGTCTATATCAACCCCAGCATGCCATATTCCGTATCCTTGGCTCCTAGAACGCCAATACACCAAACTGGCAGCATCTAATTCGTAAGCCCATTAATTGTGCGGCTAATTTTAGTTTGAATCTTCCTGCTTTCTGAGAATGGCCTGGATTGCCGTCGCAGGCGAATTACCGCTTCCCGTCTCATACTCTGTCACCACGGCCGTAATATACCGATCCGGTGTTGTGTCAAAGAGGAGGCGAAAGGCATCCTCTGTGCTTCTCTCTGGGTCTATCTCGTTGTAGGTGAGAGACTCGGTAGAAATGCGGTCACGGTCAAAGTTGATAGTCTCACAGAGTGCAACCACAGGTACACCAAGATCGGTAGCTGCCATCCCGATATCACAGGTGCCCGCAGGTCCGTATACGGAACCGTTGGCAAATAACGCCTCAGCTCCGATCATAACCTTTGTTGCTCGCTTCACATTGACCCTCAATCCTCCCAGATGGGGATAATAGGTCACCTTGATGCCAATGCTGCGAAGTTTCTTGGCGAGTTCTTGTCCAGTCTGGTCAAATGGGTCATCCAGGATAGCAACCTCAAATTCCTTACCCTCGTCCCTAGCTTTTTGAATGGCGTGGCGGACAAGTCTCTGGTGCCCATAGGTAAGGATGATATCTCCATCAACGATCATCTCGGCTGCGTTAGCCGCGATGACATATTCCGCGAAGACAATTCGTTCTTGTATGAAAGTGTCGACCGCCTCTAACAGCTCCTTGGCACCATCCTCGTCTGAGATCTCAAGGTCAAGTTTTGTAACTCGAGCTTTCAGAAGCCTAATAGCGTTGCCCATAGCAAAGCACATAGGTCTGCATTCTGTGAGGTACTCTATCTGTGGGTTGAGAACATGGGGAACGAAGTGCCGTGAGAATACGTGGCCTTGCGGGCTCTCGTATGTTTCGATAACCTAGAATATTCCTTAGTTTCCGTATCAACAATACAATGTTCATGACATTACCCACCTTCTTGAATGCGAGCAGGGTAGCTCTTAACCGTGCGATATTGTCTCTCAAAGTGAAGGTGGCCATCTGCTGGCCGACTGCCAACACAACAGGGTGAACATCCTTGTCAGCCTCTGACAGCGGTATCCTCTTCGCCATAGACAGGTGACTAAAGCATTCTGGTATAGTCGGTCCCACGTCCTTCGTCACATTTAGGGGTGCTGGCTGTCGCTGGCCCGTCGACTGTGACTGACGTCTTTGTGCTGTGGGTCTGGCTGATGCTGGTGCACCAGATGGCGCCTGCCCATCTGCCTTTGGCTTGCTCTGCTTGTTCCCCTTGTTATCGCCGCCTGTTTGGGCTCCTTGCACAGGTGCTCCGCTAGTCGCTGCGACTGCAGCCTTCGCAGCAACAGCTTGCGCTCTCCTCGCGGCTTTCTCAGCTTGCTTCTTAGCTTTTATTTCAGCTCCGGACAATTTAGGAGGGTTCGAGTTCGCCGTCGAGGCTGCTGGTGCCGGCGCATCTTGATTTTCTTTCTTTTGAGTAGGCGCCGTGGCGGCAGCGCCGTTTACTTCGCCTGACATGCCCGCCAGAACCTCAATGTCTCGTCGCGTAACCTATGTATGGTGCTCGCTCGATGCCCCTCCGTACCAGCAGTTTGTGACTTGATTACTGAGTGAAATAGTGTTGGGACCCTTGTAGACACAGCTGATGGTGAAATGTCGTGGTGCTGACTGTGAATCCTCTTTATTGTCGGGTGTTCATCGATCGAATGTGTGGTGAGACTGAAGCTGTCAAGATCGAGTTTTGGCGGAGATTTTTGACTCACTCGCTCCTGGATGCACATTGATGCCCCGCACTAAAATCGCAGTGGGTCTACGCCCCTGCCAGCACCAACATCCTGGTCCAACCTGGGACACTTTAGTGCAATAGCCAACCAGCAACTTTTCCACAGTCTATCAAGCTTGTGCTAAGGACATGTATAGACTTGCTCATCGCTTCTTTATCCGTAACCCTTACCACGAGATATATTAGTTCTAGCTCTTATGTCAGTTGCCATGTCATACAAATCTTACAAATGATATCTATTCTTATTTCTTTCTCAAAGGAGACACCTCAACTCAGGCCCGGAGTTCACGTATCCCGATATGAATCAACAACTTAGACACTACAGTTATATTATGAAGGAAAACGTCTTTCATTGTTTCTTAGATATAACCAAGCCTTCTCCGATGATATCTCTCCACTGACGGCGTGCTCTAGTCCTCTGTTTCCTGGCGGATGGCCGGCCATCATCTCCGTTCTTCGACTAATCTGCTCAACCATCCTACACGATTCTTGACGCCTCGTATCTCGGCCCTAAGGCGCTCTGTATCACTTGGCAGGCGATAGGAAGCCAGTCATAATAGCGCCATATGCGAATACCACGAGCATCTGGACTTCCTCTCGGTCGGTCATCGCGTGGACCAACAGACACATCAGGAAGCAGAGCCCCATGATGATTGAAACTCCAACAATCCAGCTAACGGCATGGTACGTCATAAGAGAAAGAGGAACCAAGAAAAATGCCGCGAAGCCCATCTGAATCACCACTGCGACAACAAATGATAGATTCTTCTCACTATACCTCCGAATGTCCAGGTCTGTGACGTCGGGGCTCTTCTTTCCGAGACAGCCCTATGATAATCAGAAATTGGCAACCACGAGGAACGAGCGGATCTGACTCACAAAGAGTTTAATACCGAGCCAGCTATCTGGAAAGTTCTTGATAAAGGCTTCGATGCCACTTCTCTTTGGCCCTATGAGCCTGAGATCCTCCCGCGCAGCCAGAGATAGCATCCGATAATATTCACCATGACGCCTATAGGACAACTTTCTCATACCCTTGACGACATTCGTCTTCGGAATCGGATAACTAAAAATCGAATTCGCCTGGTCAAGAGCACGATCTGTGGGGTTCTGTTGAGTGCCTTGTCCTTCTACACGCCTATGAGGATGACCTACGATATGAGAATAGTCTCTTTCCAATCCTCCTTCTCAGACGCTCATAGCGCTTTCTATGAACATTTTTGGGAGACAAGAGGGTTGGGCTGATGTGATGCTTGGCCATGATGTTTCGTTCGATCGTGTATGACTCTTCGATCCATCGCCACAAGTCAATGGCTCGCTCCTCGAGGCAGCGGTAGGTTTCGCTAGGGAAGACATGATAAAAGTTGTATCGAGGGTCGAATGTCTTCACCCTAGCGAAGCCAAATGACCTGGGTTGCTGCTCTTGAGATAGGGTTGGCTTGTGCGACTACCAGATGGGAAGTGGGCTAGTGTGCTTACCTGGTGGAATATTGACTGCTGTGATAGGAGGAGCTCATAGGTCAGCCCTGGAAACTTCAAGACCCTATCCCATTTGTCAAATTGTTAAGGGGTCAAGGCTTACTCTTCTTAGGATCATCTTCATTATCTGTTTGAACATCCTTACCAGACTTGAAATCGGTAAGCTCATGTTCAAGGGTATTGGTACGGGAAGAAGAGCTCTCCCCGTTCTCTAGGGTGCCCGAGTGCTTGAAAGTGTCAGACATGATAAAGCAAGGCTCTCGATTTGTCTACAGGACCGCTGCTTGAATCCAACTCCTCTTCGGCCATGGGACCTCTCTCATTCAAATACAGGAGGCTCAAGTGGCAGTGCTGGCTTCTCCAGCACGCCCAGGAGAGCTCTAGACATCATCATCGGTCATGATCACACGAATCATTAGCTTTCACACAGAACGATGCCCGATTACTCGTCGAGAGATGTCATTCATACATTCAGAGCCTCACCGTCTTTTCCAGGTCACAGCTCTAGATGTGAACACCAAAAACGGATCGTCTGCCGTCATTTAGGGCCGTACGAATGAGACTCGAGCAGCGATATCAAGTACTTGTGGGCCGGCGATACTGGCCTCGTGGGTCTGTGGCTTGGTCTACTTACACTCCTTCACAGCGTTCTTATAGGCCCAGAGACGCCTGTTTGGAGGGTGGGGATGAGGTGTTGATGGACCCCAAAGTTATGGTATGTGTATCGGCTACGAATACCACATTGATTGGGCGTTGCTATGATGTGCGTCAGGTAGATCTAGGTAGTGACGGGCAGTAGTGCATCAATTGTGCCGCTTGGTCCGGCGGCTTAGCGGGGGGTCATTGGACAAGTCACTCGTGTGTCACATCCGTACACCATCCTGAAAGGTGTTCCCAGTGACGTCCTTAGTGGGCCAATGAGAAGAGACGAATTTAACAACTCCTGAACCAGGAGACACCAACGACATGAGCAGAACGAAATCACAGGATTTCTTTAAAAAAAAAAAAAAAACCCGACCGGCTACATCTTCGTAGAACATTGATGGGAAAAGCACTATGATGGAAACTAACGAGCTTTTAGATTGTTGCTGAACGCAAGATACGCGGAAGGAATGGAAGCTGGAGCAATTCCGCCGAACAGTCGTAGGTTAAGAAATGATTAAACCCCGAAGTATGCCGCAACTCCTGTATCGGCCGTAAAACCTGGTTCAAGATGACCTCTTCGATCGAAAGGTAGTGGAAATGTGGACACTCCGATGTAGAGTTCCTGGTTTGACCTAGCTTACAGCACGTGTCTACAAGTTTATAGTTGGCACTTGGTTTAGAGACTCTGTCCTGGGAAACTTACAGCCAATGTCAAAGACAGACAACTCGTAAATTGCAAGCGCCATATTTGTTGTAGTCCTTGGGTAAGTTTGCGTCTTATGTCGATGATTTCTTCTTGCTGTCCTTTCTCTTCTTCTTCTTCTGCTTCTTATCGGGCAGCGACGGCGGCGAAGGATAGTACCAAGAAGGAGGAGGCGGCATTGGAGGAGTATCCCCACGAACAACAACAGTTCCTGTATTATAGTTTACCATTGCCTCGGTCTGGTTATAAGGGTCTTGAAACATTTCCATGGGGAGACTCGTAAGGCCGTCTTTCTGCGTATGTGGACTATTTGTGGACGAGTATAGAGAAAAGCAATTTATAGGAGCAACCTATAGTCCCGTTTAGAAAGATCTGTGCGAGACAGCCGATTGTTGCAACATGTAAGGCAGTAATCAAATGGACGGGCAGGCGCGTCTCTTAAATACAGCCATTTGTCTACTCTGCAATAACTTCAATAGCGCGTCGTCGCAAAGGTACGTCTCAACTATCATTCTCTGACTTTCTGTAAGTTGCCAAAGTACTGAAAGTGCTGGTGAAATGGGTTAGATCACGTTTGCCCGACTGTCTGATTGGCAGCGGGCATGCTGCTGATACCCCGGCTCAGGCGTCCCAGGGTCTCTCAGGTCCAATCTTTGGCGGCCATCCAGTCCGCAGGAGACATTAGCGGCGAGCAATGATGTGCCTCTGAGCATTTGTGTCCATTCTTCCTGGTCCGCACCAGAAGAAAAGAAACCCAGGCCAGCCACGACTTTGATAGTCTGGCTGAGATGGCATATGGCACACCATCTTGGCTGGCTTTGCTGGTCTGCACTCAGGCCAGATTTAGCACGCATGAACGTCCGTGGTGGCCCGAACCAGACAAGCATAGAAATCTTGTCAATTGTCACCATCTAGACTCCTTCCCCACAGCTCACCGCCCTACAGTGCATGGGGTTTCCTCCACGCTCATAGGCTCGGACGGGGTATCCCACTGCATAATCACGCCGGGTTTCAATAGCGTGTTCAACGGCCCCGTATTGCCGCCTCACTCAAGCAGCGATGAGCCTACATCCCACTGAGATGGCGTAATGGCAGGGCCTGTTTGGAAGACGAATCCTTTGCGAGTTGTTGCCCGGCATATTGTGAACACCAAACGAGATATCGTCGGTCCAGCTAAGATTGATGATAACGGTAAACAGCTCGCAAAGGCAGACGAGGCGGGCACCAAGCGATGCGTTTTGGCCCAGGAATGATCGCTCCAATGTAGGATTGTCACATGGGAGAGCCCTGCCCCCGGAACCCGTCCCTGTTGGACAATCGGGGCGCGGGTCGCGTCCGATAAAGTCGACCACCCATCACAGCTGTGCGTAGTGTCCTCTCAAATTTTGCGCTGGGCAGTACCTAGCTCTCAATTGCCCTCACCCTGGTAGATCTGAGTTAGGGCGCGCCCGGGTCTTGTTCCCATAAGAGCCTTCTTGGAATTATTTGCTCTGATTCCAACACCTGCCAGCTACCGACTTTTGGGGAACTGATTGCCGGGCGTGCTCTATAATGACGGATACATTGTTCGGAGCTCGCCTAGTCGATATACCAGCCATTGATGGGGTTCGCGGTCTTCGGGATCTCGGTCGGTTACGACATGTTCGCATGTTCGCAGATTCCCTACAATCGAGCGGATGTCGCAGCGCAACGCGCATCGAACCCAGCACGGTGGGCCAGGTCACTCTTTTTGGAAGAAGAAATCCAAATCCAATAACGAACGACTCAAGACTTTGACAAGATCATTGACGTTGTTGCAGAATGGGAAGAGACTTGGTAGAGTGTCCAGTGTTATATAGGACGAGTAGTCCCCCTTCCACAAGATGGATCTGGGGAAGCAGGGGGTCTTCCCGCTGTTCTCGATTCTGCAAATAATACCCGCTGCAAAGCATTAGCGTCAGACCATAATCAGGCTTGCCAATGATGGCCGACTACGCCCAGGGTTTCACCGATTCATTGGGACACATTCTCCTCAGGAGTGTCCCCTGGCGGCATGCTTAAGCCAGTAAGCGTGCCGTCCTCACTCAGATGCAGCACTCGAATTTCCGTTCCAATCAAAAAGATAACCTGCGTCGACACCCTCCCTCTGATGGCCTGCATAGCGTTATCGCTCGCTACCCAACACGATCTTTTAGGCCATTGCATGCGAATGTCACGGCGGCAAGGGGGTACATGACGCCAAGATCAGATAAACCGAGGCTGAAGAGGTGCTGATCACTTGATGATGGAAAGTGCAGTCTTCAAATCAGGTCGTTGGTCGGGCGGAGCAAATGTGACTGATGAGGGGATTCGTCGGACTACTTAATAGAATGCAGGAAGCTTAAAAGGTCTCAGCCCAAGCAAGGCTCGGTCACCGCTACCCTTTTTTGGACGGGCCAGACATGTCACCTTTTCACAGCCTCCAACTCTATGAGTGGCTTTCTCTGAACAAGCCTGTATCCTGACCGGTATTGGCTGTTCGTTTTCGGCGTGTGCGAAATCAAAGGGGTCACCAAAACAGTCATGCGGCAAAGTGCTCAACCAGGGCACCCCGTTGATGGTGAGGGCCTCATTGAATGTGTTGTTGTTGTTGTTTCTTACGACTCTACGACCTCTAGAGGGTCGAATAACTCACATGCGAGGGCAAGGGGTGAGGTGTCTTTTAATGGAATATTTTGTCTACCCAAATACAGGGGAAGGAAATCACAGCAGAGGATCTTGGAAGTAACTCGCCGATCACAAAAAGGCAGGTTGACGGACACTGTGCTATTGTTGCCCTGTTCCCTCCGATTGGCTCTGGAGTAATTTGATACAGAAACAAGTTTAGTTAATCACAGCGCAGCTCGTATGTCCTTGCTGAAACAAGATTCGGCCTAAAGAGTGTAGTAGAAACGTGATTCCTTTCGAACTTTTTCATCCATGACGCGGCTTGATAATCGACAATCCGTTGTTGATCCCACGCTCAATCATTACAGACTAGTAAATTCAGTAAGCACAGCGAGATCCTACGGTTTCACCGGATGGTGCAGAATCTCTTATCTCATCGTCGGATCTCCGCAACGTTACACTTCCATCGTGCCAAAGACAATCAGATATGGTATATCCAGTCTAATGTTCAGTCGAGAGAATGACTTGAAGTTCACAGGATTATCTCCGAAATTACTCGGCACATGAGTCGAGTTGAGCCCACGATTTGGCCGGACGACATTATGCAAAACATCAACACTGGGGAACAATACTCTCAGGGGTAGAACAGGTAGAAGCGCCCCTGAAATATCAGAGAGCTGATTCAAATGTACAATATTACCGAGTAACGATGTAGAAACGATGCCGAAAGACTCATGGCTGTACCATCTGATCATGGTTGCCCATCGAGTTCGCATTATAGGAGAAACCTAGATCTCTCCATCCTGAACATCGAAAGCAGTTGCCACATTGCTTCAGAAACCGACATCAATAGTCTGCAGCAGATCGAGAAACTGTCCTCATCGTCAAGAGCTACTATGCCCAGGTGATGTCCCGAGCGCGATTATTCCTTGACTTTGCAAGCCTGCCTCGAGAGTCTCGACAGCCCTCTTGAAGCCTTGCCCTCGAACACGAGATTATGTTAGGAACTCTAACGATGATGTCAAATACTCGAAAGAAGTCGATGGCTGAAGAGCCAACAATGCACGACCTCTATGCATAATAGGGGATAGCAAAACTTCGGCCCTCCAACTCTTCCCTTCCACTACAGCCCTTTGCCGATATTTTCCCATGCGACTTTGCGAGGCTCTCGTCGAGGAAGGACGATATGACTAAGACATCGATGGTGAAAAAAAAAACATTGCCGTCTGCTAGAAGGCATATAGAATACTGTGAAGAGAGGACTATGGAGCATTTGTGGTTGATGTTGGCAAATAGGTAGGAGTATTTCCTACCACTGAGGACTTGCAGGACGCATACAACTGGGGGAAATATGCTGTATCACCAAATGATTCTGTTGATGGTGCTTCTCTCCCATAGATTCTGCTTGACTTTCCACGTATTTGCTAAAACTTTGTCGTGTATTGACTGGGTATACTGTAGGCATTGTTTATTTTCACACAGTCCAAATCATCACTTATTCAAATATCAATACTCGTTGCGACCTTTCCCCTCGGGTTCGTCATTAATCACATCTTGCCCCTAATTCGTTGGGAAAGCCTGTTTGCCATGTCGGCCTGCCTTGGACAAAATATCAATCACTATGTCACTCTATCGATGAGAAATCCTACTTCAAGTCTTGAGGTCGCCGAACTACCCTCCACCTCCACTTCTAGCACCAATTCGGAAGATAGTAGTACGACCAGCGGCGAAACCAGTCACCCGAAGTCAGCCAATGATCCAAGTCCGGATCCACCAACTCCATTAACAGATCTGGAAAGTATGGAATGCATCTTGGCGAAGCAGAACATTCCCGTTGCGTTAGAGCACAAGCGACTCCGAGAACGCAAGGATACAATAAGATTAAAAATTCGAAGAGTTTTGTGAAGATAGAGACATTGTATTCTTCAACCTCACAATATCATTTGAAGAGTCAGTCTAACGTATCCAGATCCTTCTCGTCGATAACAGTAGTTCAATGAGAGTCCTTTGGAATCATGTTGCTTTCGTGGCGGATACGCTTGCCATGAAGTTTGCCGCTTGCAGCAAGAGCAATATAAGTCTTACATTTACGTTATTAGGCTTTTTGAGTAATATAAAAAGCACGACAGCTACTGCTGCGCCACCACTTTCTCAAACAAAATCATGACTGCCATTGCGCCAAGCGACGAGCTGGAGACGAACATGATTCAGTGTCTAGATACGATTTACGACGATTACAGTTGCCGATTATTGAAACCCAAGACTACGTTAATTATTCTGACCGATGGCCGATGGCAATCCGGGCCAGTTGAGTAAGATCCGATTGCCAGAACAGTCGAGTCCATCAGGCATCTTGAGGCTTCGGGCGAGTTGCTCGACCGAGAGTTCACCATACAACTCATATTCTTTGGTGACGATGTTGAAGGAATGGCGGTCTTGAAATACATGGTCGACAGAGTTACTTTTGAAGCTTGTACACCGTTCGTGTCACTTCCCACCACATTTACTTATTTGACATTACTCTTGGAGTAGCGAGGTAATTGATCTGCAACCTTGGGACGGCGCAGTTGACAAGATGATTCTGGGTAGTGCACACGCAGGCACTGCTGGCAGTCAGGCCCAACCACGACTCCGGCGTGTCAAGTTTTCCATTCCAAAGGAAAAGAGTCGTCTCTGGAAAGCCGAAGGAAGGACTGTCCGCATAGAACGAGACTTATCAAGATGATCTTTGCCGGAGCCGGACTGAGTAGGAAAGACATACTCGTAAACATGCTGATAGACGGTAAGTGGAAAATAGAAGGTCCAAATAGAATGAGATGATACAGTTGAATAGGTTAATAGAGCTAAAGAATGAAGTAGTCAACAATGAGTAATTCATGCATTGCGATAATTGCGGCAACATGGATGTCCAATTTGACACGTAGAACAGTAGAGACAGCTCTTGCCTATCTTTTCTCAACTTTTGCTATATGCAGATGGTTATACAATGTACAGCATATATACGTTCACTCCCATGGCATTGGTACCACTGGATGTTGTGCATGATCTGCAGCACCACGATACTTGCTCAACCTCCTTGACGACCTTCGACATGCATCTTCATAGTCTTCAATAGAACGCCCTCCCTGGTCGCAACCTCTTTCGCACCGGGCACCTCAGCCACCGCCTCCATGATCTTAGCCAAGACCGCCTCGGCCTCGTCCTTGGAAGCAACACGCTTCCTTCTTTTGGTTGCCAGCATGATCTGCACGCGCATGCCCTTCTCCAGGAATCCCTTGAGCTGGCGCATACGGTGCTCGAGGTCGTGCGGATCAATGGCCCAGTTGAGCTCCATCTCCTTGCTCTGCACGCTCTTCTTGCGCGCTGCCTTCTTCAGCGCCAAACTCCTCGCCTGTTCGGCCTTCTTGTCGATGACGAGGCAGATCGGGTACGGCGGGGCCCTTTCGTTGTCGGGATCTGGTAGCGCCACCACTTGTAGCGTGTGGTTGATGGGATCGAGACTCGAAAGCACCTTTTGCGGCGAGACGGGCTCCGATAGCTTGTTGTCGTCCTCGCGCATCACAATCAGCGAGTATAGTTGGGCAATCTCCCTGTTGCGCGGCAGCTTGGCACCCTTCGTCTTCGGCCCGCGGCCTCCCCCCCTCGCTTCTTCTGGGGTTCCATTTGTGGCCTTCCTCATCATGAAAGCCGTGCGGACTTGCGGGTCATTGTATAGCTTCGGTAGGAACAGCCGTGCAGGTGATGGTGCAAACGACACTGGTGACGATTCGAGGCCGTTCGTTATGAAAACCCTACGAAGGGCAGCGCCTGTGCTGAACAGGCATGATGGGCTCCTCATGGCGGGAATCTCTGGTCAAACAGCGGTTGGCCAGTGACTGCTGCAAGAGGCTCTGCGACCCTCAACATCGACTTTTGGGCGGACAGCTTCGAAGTTAGCCAGAAGTTATGATGGTTGAGGTAGCAAATCGAGATTGGCCAATTAGCTACATTAGCACATCGCTGCAGGGTTATCTAATCCGTGGCCCGAGCTCCCATCCTTGCAGCCCCAAACTCACTCAGCTATTCCAGTGATTGTCCGATATCAAGATCAATTGTAGAGACGAGACAATGATTGTGGAGGTCCACTCTTATCATCATTCCTAAAGATGCGTTTTGCATAAAATTGAGCCTCTTTCATTTTCGCCATGCCGTTCTGCGCACCATTCATCCAGGATATCCTGGGCCAACCATGGCGGCACTTGATCCGCACGGCCAAGATGCTCGCGGTGGCGCACCTCGTCTGGGAATACGGCTTCAGCATCGGTCCTGCCGTGGGGCCCTCGATGCTGCCGACTTTCGAGGTGATGAACGAGCTGGTCCTGGTCTCGAAGCTACACCGTAACGGGCGTGGTGTGAAGGTCGGCGACCTGGTCGTCTACAAGATCCCCATCTTCCCGGACAGCGACGGCATCAAGCGCGTCATCGGCATGCCGGGAGACTACGTCATGATTGACACGCCGGGCAGCGAGAGCGAGTCGATGATACAGGTGTGTTTCTTTTGTAGTCGCGCTCTATGCTGCTATGTATTAGGGAAATTGTGCCGTTACTCACATTTACCTACAGGTCCCTCCTGGTCACTGCTGGGTCGTGGGAGATAATCTACCTGCCTCCCGGGACTCCCGGATATTTGGGCCTGTGCCCATGGCTCTGGTCAGAGGCAAAGTCATTGCCAAGCTATGGCCCTTATGGAAGTCCCAATTCATCAAGAATCCTCTTCAGCCTCCTCAGGAGTGAGCGAGTGTCCAGAGGGGAGAGCAAGCGCCAAAGTCTGCTCCTTGTATTATAAGTCATTAGCGTTGGTTGTATAGTTAAGCATAGAGACTGGCGTTCAGGAGAGGTGGATTATGCTGGATATCATTTGGTTATGCTCGGTCTAATTACATGTGCTAGGACAAGCAGGCATCCGTAGACCTAGGCTGTGGGAACAAGAAAGTGCTGAGCAGAGCAGCAGGCCATGTAAACAGCCCATGCTAAAAGTAATACAAAAGAAAACAGATCATGTAGCGTGGACGTCGCTAGTCCGCGTGGTGCAGGGTTCTAAAATCGACTTGTAATAATAATGGCTCCCTCAAATGCGCGCCCCAAAAGTACAGTGATGAAACGGTCTCTCCTTTTGCCGTCTGTTGATCGAGGCCGTACGCCGTGAACACCTTGCCAGCCCCCTGTCCAGGTAAATGCCATCAAGTAACCCAGGAAACAAACACAGCGAAGAAAGGAAGCAAGCGTAGCGGAGCCTAGCTAGTCCCTATTATTAGCCTTCGATGTGTGCTTTCGAGGCGCTCTGTCCAAGCAATTCGAGACAACGCTGAGCAAGATTGACGACCTCGCCTTCGTCATCATCGTCGAATTCGTTGTCTGACTCGATCTGACGGTTGGCAATCTGTTTAATCATGTCAACAACATCATCAGACTTGCCGATCAAGCCGATGAGTTTCTTATCCTCCGACTCCAGGAGTTGCAGTAGCGTCCAAATTGCGATGTGTTGGAAGGTAGCGTCCCCACTGGCGAGGAATCTGCTTAGATAGCCATGTATGCCTCCGCTTGGCTCTGTCCAATCCTGGATGAAGATCGAGTAATCTCCTACTTTTGACGACAAATTGCCCAAAGCGGCAGCACTATTGCCCTGGACTTCAATGCTTGGCGACTGAGTAAGGGGGATTAAAACGTCAAAAACGCCGAGATCTAGCAGATGAGTCTTCAGCTCGTCGCTTAGTGCCAGTACTGCGATAGCTGCCGTCATTTCGGACTGCACGGTGACTGGCACATCGAGAACAAGCTGCTTGCACTTCTGAACCGCACCTGCTTCGAGAACAAGAGCCTTGTTTCGGTCTGAGCTAGCCGCCAGATTCCTAAGTGTCGAGATCGCGTGGCATTGAATTTCCTCGTTATCAGTGGATCCCAGAAGGTCGACCAAGGGCTTCAAGAAGCCCGCCTCGATGATGGGAGACTCGTTCATCGGGTGAATAGATATGTTTCGTATGCAAGCAACAGCAGAAAGAATCAGAGGAAGATATGAGGACTGGAGGAGGCGGAGGAGCGGGTGAAGGCCTTGCGCCCGGACAATATCTAGCTGGTATTTCTCATCAGAAGCCAAGTTTCGCAGCGCCAGTGCAGCCTGGCACTGGACTTTGGGGGAGGATGAGTCCATAAGGTTGACGAGGGACTGGACCAATTTCGGCTCCGTCTGTGCAAGCTTTCTGCGGTTATTGGAATCAACAGCGATGTTGCTCAGCGCTGTTGTGCAGTAATACTGAACGTCAACATCTGAGGAGGACAACAGCTGCACCAAAACTGGGATCGCGCCGGCGTTGACTAGCTGCTGCCGGTTTTCGTCTGGATGCAATGTAAGCTTTTATCATAGCATATCCTGGGTGAAGCTTCGTCATACCAGAGTGTGTCATGTTCAGCAGAGCCCCAGTTGCATTCCTCTGAACCCTCATGTCCCTTGACTTGGCGAGTCGTGTTAAGGGCCCCAACGCTCCTGACCTGGCGATTTTGGCCTTGTTCTCCTCGTGTGTTGCAAGATTCGTAATGCATCCCACCGCGTTGCATTGCACTTCGACATTAGGTGAGAGCATTTGACGTATAAGCGGGGTGAGTCCTCCAAGCTGCACAATCAGGACCTTATTTTCCGCTATTGCAGGTGTCAGCGATAGCTTCCTTACTGTCAACTAGACTCGGAGTTGCTTACTATTGACAGCGAGGTTTCCTAGAGCCGCACTCGCCGCCCTTTGAACCTCTATGTCCGGGCTTTGAAGGAGGAACAAAATGGGCTCCAGCGTGTCTCGATCGACCTCGCGAACATCTGTCGTTGCTTGATTAGCATGCATTCGAGTATGGTCTACAGCTCGGAATCGTAGCGCATCCTTGTTTGACTGGCTCTGTCTCGACCCGTCACCCGTTGTACGCACCTCTCTCCGTGATCTCGGCGAAGGTCAAACTAGCGCTTCGCTGTAAATCGATATTATCAGAGAACACTAGTGTGCTCAGAGCTCGTAGCGGTTCGCCAGAGAAGAAGTCGGTTTCGCCACGCTGGTATTCTGTAAGCAGGAGGCATAGTGATAGGTCTCACTGGGGGCATGACAAACGTTTTCGAGATACTGGAGCAGGTCGGCCACGGCCTCCCGCTCGCTGTCAGCGAGAACCGGCTCGTACAGACCATCGCGGGATTTCCCTAGCGAGAATCAGCATCGGAAGCTCAATAGAGCGTGTCAGAGCAGGGCAGATTTACCCCCGCAGCACGATGAGCTGCAGGCGCCCATTGCTGAAATGGGTGTTGAAGGCGGTCGATGGCGATGGTTGGTTGTTGTTGTTGTTGTTGTGGTGTCGTGCGCTGTGGGCTGTTGTCGGAAGGGAGGGTGGATAATTCGAGCTTCGGCGACGAGCAAAGACGGCCGATGGTCGTCGAATAGGGAGTCGAGAGTACTTATCTGGCCAATAAGTCGGCGGCCCTGCGACGTTGGGCCAGGACGGAGATGCTATTCAAGCAGCAAAGGGCGGATGTTTCGTTGGACAGAAGTCGAGGCGTGAGTCGGATGGAGACGGGGACTAGACCACCTTACGTAGGTAGGTAGGTAGGTAGAGCAAGCAAGCAAGCACGCACGCACCAAGCAACTAGGCAAGCTCGACCAAGGTCCTGCTGCCCTACGCACGCTACGCTACTGCCCGCCCTGTTGCTTGGTGGGAGGTGGGTCAGGCTGTCGGGATCTGGAGGAAGGGGCAGCGCATGCACACGCTTTTGCAGGTGGCCCGCCACGGATTCCTCCCTCCCTAGCGCCACAACCTGCGGGACTCGGGAGAGTCAGCAGCCTGGGACTGCAACAGAACGCAGCAACGGGTGGTAAGCTTGCTGGGCACGGGCCAAAAATAAGGTCACTAGTGTGGCTTGCCCTGGCGGAGAGATGCCTTAACTTAGGTACAGCGGTAGTAAGCAGCAATGTAACTCCTAAGTTACCCAAGTTGAAGTGAGGTTTGTTGGTCAGGTACGGAAATGTGCAGGCGGCCTGAAATAGGCCCAGAGATGCGCTAGTCTCAAGCTTGGGAACTTGCGGCTGCCAGCTGTTGTGGACTTTGATGAGCTGTTTGGCTGAAGGCTGCGCTCTCGTCGCTTCCTCTGAGGAACCATGGGCCAGACTGATAAGTAATCGGGAAAACAACCTGAACCCGATGAGATGCAAAGCTGATCAACGGTCTCACAATCGACATCTCGACGGGAGGCGCGGGTTTTCGGCTTTTCCTCGTGCACACACGGTCAACTATACTCAAGTTGAAATAGGCAGGCGTACGACACAACAAGAAGGAAACTCAGCAGACCCTCCCTTGTTCTTACTTGGTCCCCGTACCGCGACCAAGGGACGCCCAAGGCTCGTCTCCTGCAAGAACGGGTGCCTACTAGAGTTGACCATATGAGATGGAGGTTGCCGCGACTTCCAAAGGCTTCGTAGAGGGTATGTATGTCTCGATCTATCAGATGACCACACGCGCGGGTTACGACAGCCCTCCCCCCCTTGGCAGTGAGACATGTGCAAGAGAGTGTGATCTACCTAAGGCAGGGAGGAGCTATCGCAGAGTCTTGCATGTGATCCTCCTCTGCTGTGTATGCTTACTATGGAACAACTTTTTCTTCTAGTCGTTCTCATATAAATCTTCAAGAGAAACATGGCATGTCACTCGATCAATTTCAGAGATTCAAGAGGTCATAGTTCCCAGGCTGCAATAGGCTTCTTATAGGTGTCCACGGCCACATCATAGCCTCGCCAACAGCGCCTATCTGTCGTAGTGGCTGATACGGAAACGGCAGACCGCAGGGTCCAGCGCCTGCAGCAGCCATAGTTGATGGAATCCAATATTTCATGTCTTGCTCGAAATAAATAAGGCAGGTCGGGTTTTGACACCAGCCAGACGTGCTATGCGGATTCCTAGTGTCGGTAAAGTTAAGACTGCTATTAATCAGTAGAGATGGTCAAGCGGGATTGCTTTGTTGCCATCGTACAGATGTAGTGTCGGTTGATGTTCGTTGTGACCTTGAGGATGATGTTGATGCTGATGCTGGCTGATCTAGGTGGTGGTGATTGTCGCCGTTCAAGGTTGTTTGGAGGATGGTTTGCACACCTCACATAAGATCCCTCAAAACCGAAGCCACGAGTTGCAGCGTTCAGGTCGATATACCTAGCTCTGGAGGTAGATTGCTTGAAAATAGATAGCGTTTGAAGTCACAACGTAGAGCAACGCGAAATGGCCATGGCGGCGGGCGGGCCTGCGGTCTTTGAAAGGAGCTTTGAAACGGCAGAGATTCATCATAATGGCGGACTTCTCTCTCCCCTTACTCAGGAAACAAAAAGAGTCTAAACGTTGGATTCCAGAAGCACGCTCTTGTAAAAAAAATCAAAATCGGGCGCTGGATTGTGGGACAGGACTGGCATTTGTGATGATGGCGACAGCAACGACGACGACAACAAAGTGACGAAGCTGGGTTTCCCCTTCTTAGGCTGGGAAACAGTCTGCTGTGTGCATTTACAAGGACCTGGCAAGTTGGTACCTGAAGACCTTGTTTGACTGCTGGTGAAAGTGTTCAATGTGTTCCTAAGGTTCCACTAGAATGAAGGGGGCCAGGAGAGGTGGAAGAAAGCCAATTTCTTCCGGCCCCGTGTGGTCTGAACGCCTCACTGTCAAGGCGCGCCTATTTGATGGGGAGGCAGCTTTCATAAAGTAATCTGAGCTAAATCTGATCAAATAAATGATATATCTAGTTTAATATTATAATTACTTAACTACTCATAGTAGATTACAATAAAAATACAAGAAAAAGGGTTATATTTTACACTCAATTTGGCTATACTACAAGCGGAAAGGCCGAAATGCAAGGGTTTGGAAGATACATTGCGCTCAGGCCTATTTTTTATGCGAGGGCGATGTCCCTCCTAGACCGGTAACACGCCCAAACGGCGAGATGCCGATCAGGGCCTTATTAGGGGCCGAAGAACGGTGTTCTACCTGTGCGGAAACCCTGGCCGCCTCTTATCAGCAGCGAAACTGGAGAACTGCAGATAGATGATCGACTTTCTTTTGGTCTTCTCAGAACCCCTGCGTTGCACAGATTTAGAACACTAGCTGTTGGGATGAGGTAGAGTCGCTCTTTTTGCGGATTATCGCCAGAATTCTTCAATTCACCTTCTCCCGCCGCCTCTTTGCCCGCGAAAGCCTCCCCTCCGCCCGTCACACAGAAGCTGTTAAAAATGAACGATGATGGCCCTAACCAGGGCCGAGCGCCGCCACCACTTCTGCCCTTTGTGGCTCCCTCCTCCTACCTTCGTCCCAAAGGAACCACGAGTAGTAGTCGCACAGTATCAGAGAAGCCGCCGCCGATGACTCCCCTGGATAGGGAACAGATGCAGGGCCTAGTAAGTCAGACCGAGCCAGCCGAGACAAATGCTGCCCATTCATCATCCATCCCCCGTCCTCAAGGGCCCCTCAGTCCCTGCGACTCGCCGTGCCTGCGCGCTCCAGGGTGCGGGGTACGATCCTATCGTGACGGGCTTCCCGGGGCATTGAGGTTGCGAGGCAGAACCCAACACTGACTGCGCGTGCAGAGGGCTATCCGCGAGTTTTTGAAGGTCCGAACCAGCTACGACGTGCTGCCTCTCTCTTTCCGATTGATCGTCCTCGACAACGACCTCCTCATCAAGAAGAGCCTGAACATCTTCATTCAAAATGGTGCGGCTGCCCAACGAACCCCTCGGCTGCGCTGGGCCGAGAACATTACCATTCTGACCAAATGCCTACAGGAATTGTCTCGGCACCACTCTGGGACTCCCGGAATTCAGCCTTCGCAGGTCTTTTGACCAGTACCGACTACATTAATGTGATCCAATATTACTGCCAATTTCCTGACGATCTCAATGAGGTGGATCAGTTCCGCCTGAGTAGCTTGAGAGGTATAGAATGCGGCCGGACATCCCATCCTCTCACCCCAGCTGACAAAACTATGGCAGATATCGAGAAAGCAATTGGCGTTGTTCCGCTGGAGACAATTTCCTGCCACCCTATGAAGCCCCTCTACGATGCATGCCGCTCGATGCTAAAGACCAGAGCACGCCGAATCCCGCTCGTGGATGTCGATGACGAGACAGGAAGGGAGATGGTGGTCAGCGTCATTACTCAGTATCGAATCCTCAAGTTCATAGCGGTCAATAACGAGAAGCACACGGTGCTGCTCAAGAAGACAGTGAGGGAGATCGGCCTTGGCACATATACGAATCTCGCGACGGCAAATATGGGTGCATCTGTTCTTGACGTTATCCATTTGATGGTCAAACACAACATCTCGGCGGTGCCCATTGTCGACAAGAAATATCGTGTCCTGAACGTCTTCGAGGCCGTCGACGTCATCCCCTGCATTAAAGGCGGAGTGTATGAGGAGTTGAGCTCGAGCGTCGGCGATGCCCTGTCCAAGAGAGCAGAAGACTTCCCCGGGATCTACACTTGCAGCGAAGACGACCGCTTGGATTCGATCTTTGACACAATCCGCAGGTCTCGAGTGCATCGGCTTATCGTGGTGGATGACGAGAGCAAGCTCAGGGGCATCATCTCTCTGTCGGATATCCTAAAGTACGTTCTGCTGCATGGAGAAGAAGAAGACAGCCTACCAGCACCAAGATGAAGTACGTGGACATGGCTGAATATGGCTTGCTCCTAAATTTTTATGTTTGTCATGACCCGCATTGCAAGGCGTCTAGGTAAGGTAGTGGAAACGGAGGATGGAATACCAGGGAATTGCATATTTTTGCCTCTCCCCTTATAGATCTGCTTCTTGGTGTCTTTTGGCTGCAACGGTATATGTACTAGAGGTCAAGGAAGATTAAACAGAAGATCTCTGAACAGGCAATGAGTAAGACAGCTGTGGGATTTCAAATACAAAATCGAGTATATCTGAACTGGTTCTCCCCTAGTTACAGTTGCTTTGTGCTACCGACCATCTACCTTGCAGAACCTGCAGATGGGACTTGTTTCATGCCATATCCGTTGTTGGAACAGAGATGGCCATCCCTTCGTCATCGAGACAAGGACAGATGCCTTTTATCAGCAGTATGGAGCCAGAACATGGCAGGAACGATATTGGACGAAATAAGAAGGAGTGGCTCTCATGTTGAGGCAAAGTCATGTGCTTTAAGTTGTGGAAGGTACGACTGAGAGTGACTTAGGCACACAAGAAGTAATAGAAGCAGGCACACAAGCACCCTATCTGTTTTGTGAGCTTCTTTTCATCATCCTTTGTCGAATCTTCCTCCATTCACAGTCTGCAGCATTACACTCATGTACTCACCCTTTACCAGTTGGGTATTTGTTTTCCATCCCATTCTTAGATTACCTCATTGCACGAACATTATCAGCTCGTTCACACACTACGCATAATCTTGTCTTAGTAGTTATCGCCAGCTGTGTTGTTTCAGTCCACTGTTTACCGGATTGCTCCCATGCCAACACGATGACATCCCGAATTACTTCTCCCAGTATCACAGCTCAGCTCTCCACAAATAGTGATTTCGAGCTGCGCCCCAATCCCGTGTTCTGTGGCCAAAGCAGAGTTGGAAACAGCAGAACATGGTCATATGCTAGCGGAGGCCTCGAGAATCTCGATGTCGTGGATGGCATCGATGACCGGAGCATTTTTGTAGACGAATACAACCGGCTTGCACAGAAGGTAGCATATTTGAATGAGAGCTACGAAGAGATACTGACCTTCAATAGCTTGGAATACGTCTCCTGATTCCGGAGGATAATGCTAAGCGCATGGTAGGCCGCGTGCCCATATTGTCAGGCCTGTGTTATACTAAATGTTCAGCAGGTGAATCAGCAAGATGAATCTCCCCGTCGAACAAGCTGGTTTTCTCGCAAGTTCAAGCGTCAACCATCGGCACAGTCCCCTATTTCAACAGCTGACACAACTGTTCGCCGGAAACGTAGCATTGGAGATGTCGCAATGCAAATGGTCCACTCGAACAGGAACAGCTTGAAAAATGAAGACCTTCAGGGGCTGATTCAGTTGTGCGGCAAGAGTTTTCTATACTTACCATCCGAGTACGCTCCATGTCCCCTGATTTTGCCCACATCACTGCGAGCAAGTGCGCATTATCTTATTCAACATGGTATGTCCTGGCTCCCTCAACAGCTCTGTATTTGATACTGAACAGTCATAGCCATCACCACTCCTGGCATTTTCCGTATACCAGGTTCAATCCGCATCGTTAATGAGATCTATGACTATTACAGTACTGAACGGCATGGTGACGAGGTAACGGGCACTGTGAGGAACCCGAATCTCCCCTCTCACATCAAAGTATCAGTGCATGATGTTGCTTCAGTTTTCAAGAAATTCCTCTCGGGCCTTCCTGGCGGCATCTTAGGATCTTTGTCCCTCTTCGATGCTTTAGTTGCCATCGAAAGTCAGCTACATGGAAGTTCCGATTTCGAACGTAACAGAAGAGACCTGCTCCGAGCGCGTTTGATTGCCCTTGCTGTGGGCACTGTGAGGTCTCAATTCCGTCGAGAGCTCATTTGCGCTGTGTTCGGAATGCTGTGCCTTTTGGGTCAACAAGCGCAGACCGAAGCCTGTGCAGATGGCCAGGTGGCATCTGAGATGATGGGATATAACGCCTTCGGCATTGTCTTTGGGCCCCTTCTCGCGGGCGACCTTCTTGATTCATACACCATGAAACTCTCTGATCACTCATCAGGGCTCGTTCTGTCGCTCAACACTCCTCCGGCAGTGAGAAAACACAGGAAGAAGAGCAGTGGTGGAGCAGAGCCATCGCCTGGTGTTTTGACTGTCAACAAAATTCGAGTTGCAAATGATGTTACTGAGATGCTCATTACACATTGGTTAGAGGTTGTCAAGAACATGAAGAGCCTTAACATTCTTCGAAGCGACAGTTGGGCACCAAAGTCTACTCAGGAGAAGGCCGACAATATACTCAAAACTTCCGACTCGGATCCCTTTGTGCGGAGAAAACCATTAAAGACATACAGCGCGGTTTCAAATCAGGCAGTACGAAATAACCTGCCTTCATACACAAATCCAGCCTTGCGTATAAATGGTGAGTTTTTATAGAAATCTTTGGTCAAGGACAGAAAGCACTAATACACAGTACCAGGGAACACATTAAATGGCGTTGGAGGTACTCCTTCCAGACTTCCTATGAAGAGAATACGGCCGAACTCGTACTCTCTTGCATCAGCTCCAGCTCCAGTTCCAGCTCCAAAAAACTCCATGTTTTTGCTGTCTCCTATGGCTAAGGAGCCATCGCACAAGAGCCCCTCAACTATTTCCCGACATACAATTGGTTATCCTGTTGGTGCTACGAACATTTTCGATTCAACACCAAGTCCAAAGATTACCAATACATTGCGGAATGAGTCTCCGCAGTCTCCAGAGAAAGATTCAGTGGACTTGCCTCCGAGACCTTCGACCAAACCAGGTACAGGAGGAAGAGGCAGTGTCCAGTCTACACCACAGTCTTTGATTGGTACCCAAGCAAGCTTGAATGGTCAAGTTGAGAACATCGACCGAAGACGTGTTGATAGACACAAGGTGTCTGACACAGGCCACCCCATGACAAAATCACCGCGCTTTGAAGAGCAGTCAATGGACTGGCTGGGAGACTATCTCAACCTCGAGGAAGCAAGCCGAACTCCTATTAAACTAGGTAATAACGGTCATGATGCCCTGGCCTCGGCTTTTAGAGGTTCATTTGTGACGCCCTACAAAGAGGATATTCGTGGAGCAAACTCTTCAGAGACCAAAAAACCCCTTTCGAAGACCCACTTCGACATGAATGAAGGCAACACTGGCCTGGACGCACATAATAGCTTCCGATCATACTCACCTGACAAGAGCAATGCCGAAATCCAGAAGGGTCTTGGTTTTCCGAGACAAACCTTGAGCCGTGCAAGATCGAAGACCATCTCGACACCTCCAGTCACTCCCTGGCGTTTGCAGTCCTCGATTACTACCGACCGAAAACATGCTAGAAAATCGATCGGCGGGGCTGTCAAAGCGATGGCAGCGATGTTTGATAATGCGGCGAAAGATTCGTCCATCATTCCTACGCCATCGGGCAAGGCTCGTGTTAGAAGAAGCTCCAAGATATTCAATGGTCTATCCACGTACACCGTTAACCCATCACCGGCGGTATCGAATTCCTCGAACAGATCTTATATGAGCCATTTGACACCGAACAAACCCAAACAAGTGTCCCAAGGGCCTCAGCAAGGACTCTTTGGTGGAAAGGGGCAACATGAGACGCCAACCCGGCGACCCTTACGATCTCTAGTTGGCGATAACACAGATGCCCTAGCTGTAGCACAGACTCCTCCCGAAAACTCGTCACTTGTGGCTGGTGGAAGTCTCACAAAGCCTCAAGCCAAGCCGCCGAAGCCTTCAGACCAGCTACAAGTCCACCATGTGGAGCATCCAACTGCTCAACTGTCTGAGCATGGGATCCCTAGACTCGTATCAGGAGAGTCACAAGTCACAGGCACAAAATTCCGGACGGCCCCGCGAGAAACTCTTGATCCTGCCACTTATCGTCTTAAGGATCTGAAGCAGAAGCTCCTCGCGAAGGAGCAAGAATGTAAGGGACTGAAAGTTGCGATGGGCGCACGAGATCACGACATTGCATCTCTGAAAGATGAACTGACACGAAGCAAAACAAACAGCAATGTGTGGCAGAGAAGAGCAGAGACCGCCGAGAGACGAGTTGAGGCATTTGTGAGCCGTGCGACCAAGATCAAGGAGATATCAAGGTCGAGTGCAGATAAGGATGTGCATTTCCGAGCAGGACTCAACCTTGGAGGGTCTCCGCATCGAGTTGAGAGGAGCTCGTCTTCCGCATGTTCTCGTGATGGAGACGGTACAGGAGCGAGCAGGATGTCTTGTACATCAGGCACTGCGGTTGAGGCTTCAGGGATGGATTGTTTGCAGCAAGCCACGTTGTCAGAATGGAGCGGTGGAACAGTGGTACAAACGACCCCTAACAACTCACAGACGTTGTTGATGGCGGTGGATGAGTTGTTGCAGCTTGCCACCGGCACGACTACTGACATGGGGTATCTGTACGGTCCTTGGCCATAGGAAAAGGGTGTCTTGAGCCTCGGCGTCTAGGAATGGACAGACTATGTAAGACATAAGGTTCTTGCTCTCAGCCAGAGCTCAACTAGCATTATTGTAATATACCCCGACAAGGGCAACCCACACAGCAATTGAAAATATTTCGTGAAGTCAGAATACCTTTTTGTTGTCACTTTAGTCGAAGCCAGGAGTCTAGGTGACCGAGCAGGCCCTTGTGGTGTGCCACGTGGCCGAGATGCTGCCGTGGACATCGACATCAGTTCCCGTGCTGCTGGTACGAGAAACTTTACATAGCTTGTGATCAAGGAGAACGACCCATCTGGGCCGTTGTATGTCAGTTCTACCTTTGCTTCCAAGATTGAGGGGAGTTGTAAGAGCAAGTACAAGGAACGAAGCGCCTCCCACGTCACAGTCATTTGTTGACTGGTTCAATTGCCAGCACATTACTGAGTTCTTTAGTTTCTTCAATCCTCGATCAGGGGCGCGAGCAGTGATTTCTTTTGACCTCTTTATCCCTTCCGAGAGACGCCTTTATTATTAGTGTAGGGAGCCGGGCGTGGTATGATGCGGCGGCATGTGAAAGGGATTAGTGCTAGATGATATGCTACAGGGATCCTTGGATGTTTGGAGGAACATAGAAACTGAGACAGGTCGCACGGCAAATGGGCCGCCATGGCCGTCTTACATTCGGGCCATGCTTGGCGTGCTCTGTATCACAGGCCCGTATATCGATGATTGGGTCGATCAAGATAATTGACTGTCGTGGGAACTCTCCAAGAGATCGCGAAGGTCTACATGTGGGAAAAAAGGGCCTGGGGAATCTAGCAATACGGTGCAGTTAGGTAGTTCCTAGGCACGCCCAGGGCACCTGTAGGTGGGTAAGGTGTGTTACCCAATTAGGCATTCCAGGGCACAGTGGCTTGCAAGGGCAGCGAGCGTCCTCTAGCATCTGGGCATCGGGGGGCAGGCCGCCGAGGCAAGGAAGCTGAAGTTTGGAGCCTGAGGCCGTCGAAATCGGGCTCCGATTGGCGGGCAGACGAGGTCAGAAGCCCCACTCTGCACTCTGCCTATTGTTGTCCCTCCGTCGTCAAGTACCTAGGTATCTTTTTGGCGCTACACTACGCTACACCGAGGTACCTCGTTTTATTAACGTTAATGTAGTGGAGCAAAGGTAGCCGTCCATTGCCCGCCCGCCCTTCCTCACCAAGGTACCTGGGCTGGGGCTTCCTGCCTGCCCACCTCGCTCAGTCACTCAGTCACCCGCACACCCAGCCAGCCTAGGAGCGCGCACCGCACTTCGTCCTCGCCCCCAGTTTCCAGGCCAAACTCCCCCCGTCTTATTCATCATCATTTCCTTCACCTCCTCAGCCCACACCCAACACCCAAACCTCATCACATCACAACCGCCACCAACAACCACCACCACCTCCATCATCATCTCGACTCGCACCGACAGCGAGCGAGTTCACGACGAGCCTCGCTGCTCCTTATCCCTCAATCGAGTCGCCGCATTTTTACTCCCCGAATATCGTCACCCGACGCAGGGTCGAGCAGTGCATGGTCGTGTTTGGAGCCTCCCAAACCACCGCCGGCGCCTTCGCGCAACTCGCCCTCTCCTCCTCCACCTCCGACGAGCTCTTGGATCAACATCTCAATCGCGCGCATCCATTATCGACCCATAATCAATCTTTAGGACCAGGTAGATCTTTCTGAGAGGAGAATTCTCGCGGTCGGGGTTCTTGTCGGGGCTGTTCCGGGCGTCTCACGACAACATCACCTGCTTCTCACTGCCGCCCGTCGACGACCGACATCATGTCCTTCCATCCTCATACGCCGCAAAGCCCATCGCAATCATCACCTAGCACCACGGAACCGCTTTCCAGCGTCAACACGTCCATGTCTTCCTTCACGTCTGCCTCCCTGCCGACACCGGCACACAGCGTCAACGGCAGCGCAATGCCCTCAGACACTCCTCACGAAGACTCACCCCAGAAGCGCAAGCGCCCGCTAGATGACATCGGCGGAGATAGAGAGCAGAAGAAAGTTCACACCGACGAGGATCGCAGACTCGGTATTGAGAACCTACATCTTGATGTGGGCGAGAAATACCTTCTTTGCAAAACTCGTAAGGCTCCCTTCTTACACCATACAGCATCTTCATCTGCATCTGCATCTGCATCTCCACATCACTGGATTCATTTTCTGCATCGTGTAGCCCCGCCTTGTTACTGAGCCGCGCGCTTTTGACTGTACTGGGTTAACATTGATTTTTTTCTAGCGCATCCGCCTGCACGGCCTCGATTGGAGGAAGATCTCTTCGAGATGTACAACCTGACAGGAATCGCTGCAGAGGTTGCTCGTGTTCTGCCAAACGGTGAGAAGAACGCCATGAGAAAAACGTACAAGGGGCACATCAAGAAACTGGGTGTCAACGGCCATTTTGACTCGGTCAAGAAAGACGAGAAAGATCCCGATGGTTTCTTGGCGATGCTGTACGCACCCGAACTGGAGTGGAATGTCCACATGGTTAAGGGCAAGGAGATTGAGAACGGCTTCTCAGATGTGGTGCGGGGAAGTCTCGGCAGAGCAATGACCATGGCTAAGGGACCGATCGACAAGAGAAGATGGGACAGCTCAGTGTTGGGCGATCTGGCACAAGACAAGGTAGCTGCGAATAAGCAACCCTCATCTGCGAAGGCAACTGCACCAAGCACACCTGCGGCTTCCGCAATGGGTGCTGTCAACCCGCGTCTGAAGGCTCAAGGGGCTGCTGGCCAGGAGGCAGCACGTCCCCGCCGAAGCATCATGAAGCGAAGCTACGGCGACAACAGCTTCGAGGGCTATGGCGAAGGCTTCCCGGACGATGACGGCGGTGTCGAGACTGGCTACTCCACTGGCGAAGGCGAGGGAGGAGTCAAGAGGAGAAAGAAGGTGCTTAACGCCCTGATTTCGAATCTACCACATGGATTTCATGCTGACACGTTACAGAACCCAGCAAACTCTCAGCCATTTCCCGGAGCTGTACGCCAGGCGAGTTACGGCCCTGGTATGGTAGGAGCGTGATCTCGGACAGGATCATTGCAGTATACTGCTTCCAAAATCAACTCAGTCCGTTGACTCCAAGACGTTTCCTCCGATGTTGATGCTGAGGCATGGAGAAATTCGAACGTGAGAAGAGAAGCTCACTCAGCCGACATTATACGACCTCATTGCGAAAGAAGACTGTTGCTTGGTAAGATCATCGAGGAGATATTGGACTAGTCATTCCATCGGATTGATCGGCCGACAGAGGCCGTTTTGCATTTTTGACGACTTTCAGCAAGGCGTTGGGGTTTCTGCTTTACAAATGGCAGAGTGTGTTGATGCTCGCCAGATGGAATACCACCCGTAGAGGAGCGCCCTCGTCGCGCAGCGGGACAAACTACACTACTAGGGCTACAGGCAATGTTTGATCTGCCCAGATAGACAATAAAAGTGAATATTGTTTAACAATTCGCCTCATTTTATGCTTGTATTTGTCTTAGGTGATGAAGCTATGCTTGACCGAAGCCATATCATGAAAAGAGTGTCACTTGTACACGTTTGCCTGTATGCTTTGATACTACCGCTTTGGCAGCCATACCTGTCCGACATTACTGTACTCTGGTTTACCAACACCTTGACGCCTTCCGTGCTCCATACGCTGGCTATCCCATATATGCTCATCATGCAACGTTATGATTTTCCAAGCAAATCTCCTCTTGGTGAGCTTAAATGTAAGAAGTGTTTAGTCTAGAGCTAGGATTGCCCGTTTTGAGGCGTCCTCCTGCACCCAGCTCACGATCCGCGAGCCCACGTCGCCGACCAGCTTCTCATAGTGCGGGCCGGGGAAGAACAGCCCGCAGTGGGCGCCCACCTCGTCCACGCCCTCCATGTCGATGCGCACCCACGTCGGGTCCCTCGTGCCGTTCTGCCCCTTCATCGGCAGCATGCAGAACTTGCGCTCCTTCTTCTTCTTTGTCTTCTCGTCTTGCTGCCCTTGCTGCGACGGGGCCCCCGGCGTGCTCGGCCCCGGCGCCGACGAGATGGCAGCCGCCTCCTTGCTGCCGCTGGCCACAGCAGCCAGGTTGAGCTCGCTGATCTCCTTCTGCAGGGCGGCGTGCTCCTCCTTCTCCTGCCTCTGGACGCGCTTCTGCTCCTCCTTCTCGCGCTTCTGCGCCTCCTTGAGCGCCTGCTTGCGCCGCTTCTCGACGAGCTTCTGCCGCTCCTTGAGGGCCTTGTCGCGGTTCTTGACCGCCTGCTCGTACGCCTTCTGCACGCGCTTCGCCTCCTTCTCGGCCTGCTTGCGCTCCTCCTTGTCCGTGTACTGCTCCAGGTTCGGCGGCTGCGGGGGCTCCGGGGCGTCGGGGATCGCGGGGAGGGTGTTCTCCCTGGTGATGCCGGCGTCGATGGATTCTGCGGTGTTGGTGGTGTTTATGCTTGTGGCTCCTCTGTCTCCCTCGGGCGTGCTGTGCTCCTTGGCGTCGGTGTACTCCTTCTCGTCCTCCCCCTCGTCCGGGAGCGGCTCGGGCGCGATGAACTGCATCGACACGGGCCTGCCGTCGTCGCTGTGGTCCTCGACGGAGATGCGCGGCGTGGAGCCCGGCGAGCTGGCCCCGTCCACGGACCGCCGCGGCTCCGCGTCCTCGGGCCTCAGGAAGGGGCTCGACGGCAGCGGGGGCGGCGGGGCGGGCTTCTTCAGCCGGCCCGTGGAGATGGTGAAGTAGTTGACGAAGCGGACCTGCGCGTCGCCCCGGGCGGCGCTGTTGGCCGCGTTGAAGTCGTCAATGTCCTCGAGGCGGCGCAGCCTGCTGTAGCGGTTGTTGAGCGCCGGGTAGTCGGCGAGGCAGCCGCCGAACTCGAGGTGCGAGACGATGTGGTTGGCCGCCGAGCTGAAGATGCCCTCGGAGCGGTGCTTCTTGGTGAAATGCGCGATGTTCTTCCACCACCCGCGGTCTCGAAACTGCACGTCGTTGAAGAAGGGCGGGTTGAAGAAGGGGTCCGGCTGCGTTGGGTCTCTTGGCGGGGGCGAGGTCGCGGTGGAGACGGTTGTTAGGGTTGAGGGGGAGGTCATGCCCGATAGCGAATTGAGCTCGTTATATAAGGATGGGTCAGGAGACAAGCTCCCCGATGTGTTGGGCTCCAGGGCCATGGCGTTGGGATATCCTGGCTGCTGTGTCTGCTCCTCGTCCTTGCGAAAGAGACTTGCGATGCCGGACACGATGATCCCTGGATGAAGGCCCAGAAAGGGGGAATCTAAAGAGACGGTGCCCAGTATCCTGTGTTTATAGGGATGGCCCATGACGGGATTCGGCGACGGCTATGGGCATATCATTAGCAGAAGAACATCGACGTATTGTGGAGGGGCCCATACTATCAACACAATATCGGCAGCCAGTATGCCACCCATGGAGTGGCCCACGAGGACCACATCCGTAGTCTCAGACTCATGCGGCTCAAGCCACTTGCTGAAGTTGTCTCGCGCGACATCGATGGCCTTGTACGTCTTGTACCTAGGATAGATCTTGGAGTGGATGGCATGGGTCTCAAACAGTGCCTGCCTGAGGTAGTTGTGTACATGAGCAGGAAATGACCGGAAGGAAGTGTCATTGCCCATGAAGCCATGGATGTAGACGATGAGCAGGGTCCGCCTGTAGCCACCATCCCCTATGGACGGGGCCAGAGACTGGGCGGACGACGACCGGGGATCGTGCGTCTGCCAGGGGGACTGCCAGTGCTGCGGGTAGGCCTTGCCCAGCCCCCCCGATCCGCCGGCAGCCCCGCCCGGGGGCGGGCTCGGACTCGGGCTCAGGTTCGGACCCTCATAAGACGGGCGTGGCGGGCGCAATGAGGAGGGCCGGGAGGTGTACTCTGGGGGCGGGGGGGACGACATGACGTAAGCCTCCAGCACGGGCCGCGCTGAAGGAGCAGGACGGTGACGATGTCTCTCGAGGGATGTGTGAGAATACGAGCCACGATCCCTGGGATGTGAGGTTGAAATGGATTATAGTCAGAGATATCGTGCACTCTGAGTTGGAGGTGCAGTTATCGCAGCCGCGTCATGTCGCTATCTTGACGAGATGTGGACCAACAAGACTGGGCTGGACGGCGAGCGTGCTACTGTAGGTGCATACTCCAGGCCTACCAGATCTTAATTGCTTGCGACTTCGCAGTGCTGCGGCCGCTAACCACCTGCCACCTCAACAGATTTGCCCTGTTTGGTAGTGCGGCCAGCAGACTATTGGCTGGCGGACAAGCAGTTCCTGCATTGCTACCCTGTTCTAGGTGGGCTTGCACAGTGGCAACGGCTAAATCTAGGAAAGACATTGGATAAAAATGCCCTGTCTGAAGTCATTGTCAACATCAACGTCACCATCACCATTATTGGCACAGTATTTGGGGGGGTTTTCAGAGCGTGGATGCTGGCTCCTTACTCGATTTCGGGCTTCCTCAAGAGGACAACCGGTAGAACTCGGTATTTTACAATCTGAAGTGTCACTAGGGACATGTGCAAAACTGGCCGACTGTGACAGTTACGCCGTTTGTTAGTTGGCTTAGAGACATGTAGACAGGTGGTGGAGCAGCGCCAGACCCTGAAATAAGACAAGGTTAACGTGGTGAAATGTGGGCAGACCGTACTATGTGTGTTCTGGGCCGGTGGGCTGCATTTTCCGTGAAACAGCGGCGGCAGCTAACATGCAGCGCTATTTAGTGCCTTTTCCCGCTCGTTGGAGATCGACGGGGTGGAGGGGGCCTCGGGGCTTGGTGCGTGTGCCTGGATTTACTCTAGAACAGAAACCTTTGTGGTTCATCAGCCTTTTCCGGAAACAGTGTCTAGGTGGGCGCAGTGAAGACAAGGTGTCTTTAGAGAAATGAGAATACATAAGACAGAGGACTCAGGACCGGCCAGACGTGCAGGTGAATGGCGTTCCAACTTCCCACGGCCTGATTGGGTGCGGTCTTGAGGCATTCAAATAAGACGCCCATTCCAGTCGCGCCATCCCCATAGCGGCGCGCGGGCTGCTTGAATACGAGATATGGACAGCCTTAGCCAAAGTATGTAAGTCAGTATGTGCATGTCCTGAGCAAGACGATAATTCTCAACCACGGCTCGCCGACGGGCACACGCATGCATTTCTCCGGGCTCCGGTCGCAGGCTGCAGGCTGCGGGCTGCAGGGCATAGCTCATATGGCTCATCTGGTTGTAGATATCGTATTCGAGAGGGTAGAGGAGTACAAAGCCGGTATGCCGTCTAGATAGTAGATACGGACAGGTTCGGTAAAATGCACGTTACGTTAGTTGAGCACAGCTACGATATCGATATCAAGACTGAGGCGGCAACGAGATTAGGGGGAACGGCGCAGGAGGAGCCAGCTATCTACCTATGTACATGTAGGTAAGTGAAGAGCAAGGTATTCGTAGATAGGTAGATTGCTTGATTGAGGCTTGTCCATGCTTCGTGAGATGACGAACCCCCCCGGCCGTGTACTCTACTCTAATCTGGCAAGACAATCACGGCATCTCGTCCGCACCCACCGGGCTCATGCTGGTAGGAACGTCCAATTGCATAGAGCCCTGATGAAAAGTCTAGTCCATATTCGCCCCCTTCACGATGAGATGAGACAAGCAAGACATTGAGAGCATTCTCCGTCGGCCATCATGATGAGTCTACCGAGTCAACCGAGTCTACCTAATACCATATCTGATTATTTCCGGACAGGGACGCCTCAATCTGGTGGCTTTCTGTACTGCAACGAATCTGCGAGACTACCTACATGTAGGTAGACTAGTCTAATAATGTCTGTAATGTCTGTCTTTAGTGAGGTGGAGCTGGGCGATGGGCCCTAGAACCCTGCTCCGGGGCCAAAGAGTCGTTTGCCAAGATCGGGGCTTCTTCAAACGGCTGTCCAATAAGACCGTTGACTATGGAGCCAACTGAGCCCGTCCACGCGCCCCATTGGCCAATGCATGCTTACCGAGATTGTCTCTCCCATTGCACCTTGTCCAGCCCACGCACTCACTGGCCCTGCACCGTCCATCAGCGGCCTGATCTAATTTCGACTGCACTATCGCTGCTTGTTTGCTCTCCATTCTGGCTGGTGTCTTGCGCATGTCTCCTGTTTTCCTCTGTTTCTGCTTCTGCTTCTGCTTCCTTTCCTTCCCCTTCCCCTTCTCCTCCTCACCTGCTTTGTGATCGCGAGGCACGTTTGATGCGTGGTTGCCCTCATCACATCCGACGATGAAGAGTGGGTGAAGTAGCGAGTAGGAGACACACAAGATTTCGAGAACGGGTACCCGTACGTACCAGTCCAAGCAGACATTCAGGAGACCCCCCGGTGGCCGATCCCCCCGAGAGCAGCAACACCAGCAACAGCAAGGCGATGAGGTGACGATTGGGAGGTCATGACCCGACGATAACGAACAAACTTTCAACAACAATGGATTGCATGCTTAGATAGCAATCCAACGACACTCGCTTTTGGTTACCATCGGAAAGGAAAAGGATCACGCTGCGCTGCTGCGCCTGCACCGCGCCCTGCACTCCGCCAGACCTATCCAATCCAGCCCAACGAATCCTCGTCGTTGATGGGAAATACGGGAATCCGTATTGATCGACATCTGCCTACAGAACCACATACACTAAAACGAAACACAACCACACTCCTTTGAGCACACGCACACAACCGTCCCGCCAAGCGCGATGACTAACCACGGTCTCGGGTCTTCACTCTTTCAGGCCCGGAAGAAACACTACCACCGTCATGCACACCTGCACGACCACAAAATAAACCACGTTCGTTCACATGAAGATATTCATAACCGGGACGCCGCCGCCGCCGCAGAAGAAGAAGAAGCCCCCGCCGAGCTGGAGCGCCGTGTCGTTGAGGTCGTTACGACCGTCTCCGTCGTCCAGTACGTCGATGGGGATGGGAACTCCATCGACGTCTCGACTCTCTTCACCCCGCCCAAGACCGATGCACCGGACGGCGTTGTGGCTTTGACCGTCGACGCTTCTGTCGACATCAGCGTGCCGACCGTGTCTGTTCCGGGCGTATCAGCTGTCTTGTCAGGCGTTGAGAGCCTCATCGGTGCATCAGCTGCCCCGACCGAGTCAGTGACGGTATCTACATCCAGTCAGGACCCAGCCCTGACATCCGCTCCTTCAACAACATCATCACTATTCCCCTCGTTGGGAACCATTACAAACTCTAGTAGTAGTATGTTCTCAGTCAAAACTTGGGTCACCAGCATTACTAACCATCTTGCAGTATCTACAGCTCATTCTTTCAGCAACAGCACGCTCGCTCATTCTTTGTTTGCCAATTCTACACGGACTTCATCTACATTCTCATCATTGACTTCATCATCTTCGCACTCAACCAGGAAATCCAAAACCTCGCTGACCTCAACCTCGACATGGTATTCATCTTCTTCAACTGATTTTGTCGCAGCCACCGGTGGCGCTGGGAGCGGAGATGGATTTGGCATTGGTACTTCGACACCGACGGCCACTGCTGCCGCCACGGGCGGCTCTGATGGTGACTCCGGACCCGAGACCAGCCAGGTGGTAGGAGGGGTTGTTGGAGGAGTGGCCGGCCTGGCGATTCTGGTACTCTTGGCAATGCTTGTGTTGAAGTGGAAGAAGCGTCACGGGGGCCATATTCTTCTCGGAGACGGACCCAGCCCCAATTCCAGGGCCCTGCCCGCGGCTGGACCATCGTCTGGCGGCGACGGTGGTGCTGCCGAGGGTGTAGCAGAACGGTCACTGCCCTTTGCTGTGCCGTCCACTCTGGCGGCCTTGTCGGGATATAAGCGATCTTCCAAGCGAATCTCCTCAGCTTCAGACGCTGGCGAGAAGGGCTTCCACAGAGTCTCTGGCAGGAAACTGCCTTCCGTTCTGCAGTACGGAGGCGACGGCTATAATGACCCACGGGAGAGCGCCATGAGTGACACCTCATCCTATCGCGACTCGATGGCTTTCTTCAATCAGCCCGGCACGCAGCGCTTTGCCCTCGGCTCGCCCATGCGGCCCGAGAGCGGCATCCAGGTCATGCGCGAGGGACCGCAGAGGACGCCTGTCACGGAGCAGGGCCCCTTCTACGACCAGCTCACGCCACCCCTTCCCGCCTCGCCGGGCAACGACCCCCTGGGCCGGTCGCTCGTCAGACAGGATGGATCTCGCGGCTCTGGCTCGAGGTTCACTGAGAATATGTGAAAGATGTTACGGACGGGGCCGCGATGCCCGCCCTCGTCATCTCGACTTTATTGTGTGTTTATTTGCGTGTACATGTGTTACTCTTCGACCCAACCAATAATGTCTGGCACCTAGTCTACGGTTCAGAGAACGCCTTGGAGAAAGAAAGAGAGAAGAGAAGAAGAAGAAGCATTTGGGAAGGCGTTTTCTATTCCCTCTTCCTGTTTTTGGATACTCCTACTTAGTTGTGTACTTCCGCCCGCGGGGCGGTGACGTGAGAGAGAGAGAGGTAGAGAGTTGCGAAGGGGTCCTGGTTACGATCTCGACAGACCCCATTTTGTCCTGTTTTTTTTTTTATATCCAGCTGTAGCGTGCTGCTATACTGTATAGTGAGTCGATGTCATCGGCTCATACAACTCAAAACATCTTCTCTTGTACATAGTCTTTGCCAGAAAAGAAGAAAATATATCCCAATCAAGAGAGAGAGAGAACAGAGAGCCCAGCATTGACGATGAGTGACGGTGATTGTCGTGTATGACGCCCATGGTGCCATTGATGATCCGGTGCAGTGAATGATCATGAGACTTGGAGCCTGATCGACGCCCGAGGGGCACATCTCCTCGCCTCGCCTTCCTTGGGAGAGCGTCACGCATGGCCATCCTTTGCATAGGGAAGGGAGAGCATCTTCACACACCGTCTTACCTGGAGATTGGAAAGGGGTCGTTGGGATTGCCTTCGCAGCCCGCAGAGCGCTCATGCGTTTTGAGTTCGTGGAACGCATCTGGAAGATTCGTGGGCTCGCAGATCATCGAGACGGATGCTCATGCGAAGCGGGCTGAGGGGGGGTGGTTGCCACCGCCGCTGGGGACGGGAGGTCAGGCCTGTCGTCGTTGTAGACCTCGTGCGAGCCGCGCGGTGTCAACTTATTCTCTGATATACCTACCTGCCAGCAGGTATAAGTCGGACTTAACGGCAAGTGCTGGCGGACGAAGACCCCTGCGACGCTTTGCATGTTCCCTCCCCGAGATGTCAAAAACGAAAGACGGAGGAGGGAGGGAGGAGGCGTCTGGAGATCTCGCCTGTTGAAGAATGGGTCTTGACCGTTTTGCACGTGCGGTTGTTGGCCGAGTGTTGATGATCGCCTCGGACGTTTTGCTGGGGTCCACAGCGTGGGTATAATGAGGCGAAAACGGAAGCCGTCTTTGGGTAGTGGGTCTTGAGACAGACCTGAAACCAGCACACCTGAACACCAAACTGGCGCTTGGACATGGGGGGTGGTTGAACAATGACAAATTCTTTCATCTGTGTCGCTTTCTCGAATTGAGAGAAAGGACGCTCTATCTTGCTCCATCTAGCTCTCCGGATGCTTCGGAGGGGGAGGGTTGGTAAAGAGCCTTGTGTGTGGATCATGGATCGCGACAGAGATGTTTCCGGCTGCCTCTCATCTGCATGGTGGATGAAACGAGTGTCGACAGCAAAACCTCAGACTGCAGATATCAGCGGGATCCAGACTTTTGGCAAGATGTAATCTAAAGCGGGCTGATGCTGCGCAAAGCACTAAGCGGATGCAATTCTTGTCGAAGGTCTACAGCGAAGGGACCATGATATTCAGTGGTGCTGTTTGCCATAACTCGGCTCTATAGAGATATCATCTTGCTGTCGTTCTGGGCTATGGATAGGTCATTCATTGGTTTCCTGAATTTCAGAACAAATGTTCAGACGAAAGGGCACTCTTTTGGGACGGGGCACCGTCCGTCATTGGACCGCGCCGTCGGTGGAGATGGAGGACCCCTGGCGGCTTTGCTCTGGGGGCGCCGCATCACCGCTTCACACGGAGTGCTTTCCGGGCCCCATAGGTCCTTGTGGGCAGGCCGCGCGACGCTCCACTTGGTGCATTGCACGGCGGTCATGGCACGCCAGAGAGGCAGCCCCTTTCATGTAACTTGGTGATGGGAAGCACCGGATGCCGAGCGAGAAGGCCTTGTCGTGAGGCTCGGAGAGCCTCAAATGTCTTGTCTAGGTGGCATGCATGTATGCGGGTGTAGTGTATTCCTCCGCCGACTGCAGCTTTCTGAGTGTCTGTCAGTCAGTCTTCCTCTGGATCTGACATTGCTGATCCATGCAGGACGCCGTTGAAAACCTTAAGTCAATGCCCACCAGCCTGGCTGTCAATGTCTAGTCAGTGTCTCAGTCAGGTTCGGGCTACTCTTAGCTGGAGCTCGACTCATTCATCGCGCTAGGAGGACCTCTGCACGCTGCAGCAGTCGACAAGCACAGTCTATCAGAGGAGTCTAAAACTTTCAGGGCACCGTGGCTGTTCCCATTGCGGGGGGCTTCGATGTTGTCTCTTGGCGTGAAACAAATGAGCCTCCGTTACCCAACCTAAAAAAGTAAGTTTGTATCTGAGCGCTTTGCCATTCATCAATATCGTAAGGCACATATTGCCGTTGTTATACACGATAAGGTCCCTTGTTCGACGGCCCAGAGCGCAAAGGACGGGTGCGGTGCGCAGGCGTCCATCTGCATTGGCCGTCGTCTTAGATGCCGTCTGTGCAAGGTCCTTGCAGTTACATGGCTGCAGCCCCAAGAGGCGCTGGCGTCACTCGTAGCCCCACGTTCTCTGTACGAGTACGTGTATGACCTCCCGCCTGCCCAGTCCAAGCCCCCCTGCTGATGGGAGGTGACGAGGTGTGGTAAGATCGCCTGTTAACGGAGGGCCTCAAAGATGATTGACTGATTGGAGGCAACTCTTGCGACCAGGCCTTCGGGGTGTCTGGGTGTTCTCTTCTGGCCCGACGGTGCATCTGATTTGCCGCACGAAGACCAAGTCAACGTATCACCACGCCTGTTCTGGGCTACCGTTCCTTGAGGGAAGGGGTGCCGGTACCTGAGTACGAGTATCTCTGGGCGCATCTAGGCCAAGCAGGCCAAGGAGTTCCCAGGGCAGAGTGGCCGCGTAAGGTGGGAAGGGGCTCGAGGGGCTGCTGAAGTAGAGAGACTAGACTAGGAGTTCGCTGTAGATCATTCTGTCTTGCTTCTGCAAAGGTTGCCTCTTTGGGAAGTTGGCGGAGTTGCTTAGGCTCTTGTCAGCGCTGCATGTCAAGCATCAAGCGGCGCATGTGTATCACAGCACCGTCATCATGAGCCGGAGACTAAGACAACAAGCCCAATTGGCGGTGCCATCCAGCCATACCTATATCGCCTCATCTGCATCTGACAGGGCCCTTAGATCAAGCTGAACGAGTATATGTGCGATCAAGCGCAGCTTACCAATCGCAGCAATGCGAAGTGTCTTGTCTCTTGGAGATTGTGGTTTCTGGTAGCTGGTAGCCGGATACTGTTGTCATCCTGTGTCATGTACTACGTGACCCTCTTCCCACTGCACCGCAGCCGATAAACTTAGATACAGAATGCAGGATCCCCACGGTGGCTGTTTGCGCCTCGTCATTCCTAGTTGAGCTGAACATTGAAGTGTAGATAGATGCGCACACATGTACGCTGGACAGGCAGCTCGAGCCGAGATCTATTCATCTTTGCGCACTCGTCGCAACTCTGTCAACGGACGAACAGCCGGAGTTAGGACGACTGTTCGCATTCGTATAGAGAAATAGAGAGAGGGTGCTATAGTATAATTCAACGTCGACTGATTAAGACCAAGTGTCTGTCTGTCTGTCTGCTGAGAAATGCTATTCGGGATCCTGGAGTCATGCCAAACCCGATGTTCAGGCTCAGCCCCCCGCTACAGGAGGCCCCGAGCGAATGAAGACCCCCTGACACGCGCTAACGAGACGGACGGAGAGTGGGACGGACGCCCGCAACGGTAAGAATAACTCCCAGTTCAGTCCAACAGAAGGCGTCAAGACGAAAAGATGGTGGTGTGGTGTGGTCTGGTGTGGGTGTGGGTGTGGTAAGGTTGGTCGGGACTGATGGGCGTGTGGGAAGATACCTTATTGCATAGTCTAGTGTTGCAGATGCTTCAGGTACAGTCCAGTGCAGTCCAGTCTAGTATAGTACCTAGGTACTTACTCCGTAGCGGTAGCGTACCTACCCAGGGAGCTAGGTAGTGGTGCAGCAGCACCAAGGAGGAGATCCCCGCCCCCCTGCACTTGCTTTTCCCATTCGACTCGATCTCAAACAAAACCCACCTGCCACCCATCGGCGGCGGCGGCACCATCTATCTGTGTCTGCCCCCCCAGCGCCGCTACTCTACTCTACTACAACTACCCAACCAACTCCAGACCACCCCCCCTCGTCCACTCCTACTGCTGCTGCTGCTGCTGCTACTAAATATTACTACTACCACCACCACCACCACCACCAACACCACTCTCCCTACTGCGGCATCTTTCGACTAGTCTTGCCTTTCCAACTTCAGCCTCGACTACTTTCAACGTCAACGTCAACCTCGACCAAGACCTCGACTATCCGGAACTGCGTCTCGAAGCTACTCTACTACCGCTACTGCGCTTCTCGCAAGAAGCTCTGCGCCATGGATCACATGGCCGGCTTCCAAATGCCGTCGATGGCCACGCCTTCGCTTATAAACCAACCGCCGCAGATCTTTGGCGGCTACACCCACGATGGAATGCCGCTGCAGCATCTGCCCCCCGACTTGACCGCCCAGATGTTCGGTGACCCGAATGGACTACTCGATGACGCCAATGAGGCAAAGAGGAGGAGGATCGCAAGGGTGAGTTCGCCCCGCGGCTAGCTAGCACGGGCGTCTCTTGTCGTGTCCGGCGCATGCTGACCAGACCAAACGCACGCAGGCTTGCGACATGTGCAGGAAGAAGAAGATCAAGTGCGACGGCAAGCTACCGGCTTGCACGCACTGCATCAATTATAAGACAGAATGCGTCTTCACGCAGGTCGAGAAGAAGAGAAATCCACCAAAGGGGTGCGTATATGGTAGCTTCGTGGGATTATGGACAGAAGCTTACAATGCTACAGCGCAAAGTATATTGAGGGTCTTGAGAATAGATTGGGTCGTATGGAGAGTCTTCTAAGGCTATCTGGTAAGATCTGCTCGCCGACAACTCGCCATCCCGGCGCTCTCCGGCACTCCCGGTTTTGCGCTCACCGGCCCCCTATCATCGTGCTAATGGTTTTTCCTAGGTCTCCTTGGTGAGGACGATGGCGCCACAGATCTGGGTACCCTGGAGAAGAAGCTTGCGGAGAAGAACCAGCAGTCAAGGCAAGCCTCACAGGCTATACAGTCAACCCCAACGTCTCCCTCGCAGGCAACGTCTGGCCATGACGGCAACGCCTCAACACCACAGAGCTCTCTCACCTCTCCAGAGCCTAGTAAAGACAAGGAAGATAAGGATAAGAGAAAGTCACTTACCCCAGACAAGAGAGACGAAGAAGAGGTCGAGGCACTGTCAGAAATGATGTGCTCATTGGTGACCAGTAATTCTGGCGAAACTCGGTATATCGGTATGTAATCAAGCATATCCATAAACTGACCATGACTAAACGTAACCAGGCTCTTCCTCTGGATTTTCTATCTTCTCGCCCAAGGGCATCCAATGGGTCAATGAGAAGACCGGTGATAATTCTTTCCAGCAGATGATCTCCCACGTTTCCATTGATGACCATAAATGGAATAATTGGAAGCCTGAGGTCTTCGCCGATCTCTTCAGACGGCCGATCTTCATACAGTTGCCGTCTGAGCAGGAAGCGATGTCTTTACTAAAGGATTACTTCGACAACTTCAATTGTATGTTTCCGCTTTTCCACCAGCCTACCTTTATGCATCTTGCGGAGAGACAGTACTCCAATGATCCCTACGAGGGCTCTGGGTGGTGGGCTAGCTTGAATGTTGCCTTCGCTCTCGCGCACCGTCTTCGTGTGATGAGCAACCTGGTGCCACAAGAGGAGGACGACAAAGCCTGGGCTTATATGAAGAATGCGATGGGCGTTTATTCCGAACTGAGCATGCGCAATACCGACCTGTTGAGCGTTCAGGCATTGCTAGGAATGGCACTGTTCATGCAGGGTACCCCGAATCCTCAGCCTTCATCGCTTCTCATTGCGACAGCCATTCGCTTGTCCCACAGCATTGGTCTGCACAAGCGAGGTACCGGATTCAATCTCAACCCCATCGAAATTGAGCAGCGAAAGCGAGTGTTCTGGATTGCATACATGTTGGACAAAGATCTATGTCTTCGTTCCGGGCGTCCTTTTGCACAGGATGACGACGATATGAACGTGGAACTACCTGACGCAGACCCCGAGGACAACATTGGCAACATCCCTCTAGCAGAGGGGAAGGGCAAGATGAATCTTTTCCGAGTTATGTGCGAGCTCTCCATCATTGAGAGCCGGGTGTACAAGAGATTGTACTCTACCAGGGCCACGAAACAGTCAGACGGAGAACTCCTCCAAACGATTGGCGAGCTGGATCAAGAGCTCGAAGACTGGAAAGACCGGATACCGATCGATTTCCGCCCCGAGAATGAAATCAAGGCGTCTCATACACCTTTGATTCTTCACGTTGTCATGCTTCACTTCACTTACTACAACTGTTTGACTACGATACACCGCATGTCGATCCACCATGGGTACTGGACGAGCCGTCTATCCAATTTTGCCATCCAGGGCTTGAATGCGAAGCCTTTAAACCCTCGCGTTTTTAATTCGGCAGCTCTATGCACATCAGCAGCCAGAGCGTCGATTTCTCTTCTCAAGTATATCCCGCAAGGAGATAACAACTGCGTCTGGTAAGTAGGATTGATTCTCAAGTGTGAAGATTTTGCTAATCCAGATAGGATGATCCTGTATTTCCCTGTATCCGCTCTTGTAACACTATTTGGCAATATCTTGCAGAATCCTTTGGATCCTCGTGCTAGGTCTGATACGAGACTAATGGACTTGGTCGTCACTTTCCTGTCTATGTTGGGCCAGGAAGCCGAGACTGGCGGCGTACACCGCATGCTGGGCGTATGCTCAGAATTTGAAAGAATTGCTAAGGTCGTCATTGAGAAAGCAGAGAAAGACAATGCTGGACGAAGAAAAAAGAGGAATCACGATCCCAGCCAGGCATCAAAGGATAAGGGTCAGACATCAACCGGGGCGTCGGCACAATCGAACAACAGCACAGCGCCAACCCCAAGACCGCAGACTGCGACTACCAGTACGCCGACGCCGCATCAGTCGAGCAAGAACGGAACTCTTTCACCGCCATCAAGACCTGATGCACTCAAGAATCAGAATGGCTATAGCCCAATGAATTCGAGTATGAGTCAGACTCCGTCACCGGGCATGGCACCGAATGGATGGTCAAGCGACTTCAACATGAACGACCCGACTGAATTTACATCTTTCGCCGACTTTACTGGCTTTGGACAGATTAATGACCCGAACAACCATCCTCCTATACCGAACATGGCATCGCCGCCAAATGTGACCGCCGCTTTCTCAAATCCGCTGTTACCACAGGATCTTTATGCTTTACCTATGAGTTTCGACTGGGATTGGGCAGAAATGAGTGGCGGTTCCTACCCATCTGTTGAGAACGGGAATTTTGGCCGACCCAACAACGGCAGGTAGTTGTGATCAGTTGAAGCCAGGCAGGATGTACTCTGTCAAAGCTCGAGACTTTTTGTTGCACTCTTCACTTTAGATTTATGGTGGAAATGAGCTAATGCATTGAAACGGCCACCACTTCACATCAGGGATTCTCGGGGTCATGGGGAAATTAATGTCACAGGGAATGGGAAAATCGGATTGATATTGCTTCCTAGAGCAGATTGTATTCATTGTGTACCTAGGTAGTTCAGGGGTTTCTCAAGACGGCATCTAGGTTTCTTAAGGCATGGCGCAATCACTACTCCGATAGGGTTTCGAGTCTGTTATCTAAGATTTTATTCACCTACAAGCTCTTTGATATGCCGAAGTGACTATGCCAAGACTCGAAGTCTTGATGAATCACCAACTCGCTCTTCTCATAGTCTCAAGCTTGTAGCCATAATCGCCGATGTCGCCGAAGGCAAGCGTCCCGGATCTTCGGGGTCCAAAGCACCGCTAGAGTCGAGTGCGTCACGTGGAAGCCTTGCTATCCCAAATGAGGATTAGCGCGACATGGGCGATTTGACATGCGCATTTCCATCATCCATGATGTCTGCTGAGCAATTCTCGACCTGCTTCGCACAGAAAACACGAGCCACCACTCTCTACCTACGACATCTTCTCAGCAGGGCCCAGCACCACTGCGCTTTGCATGCGTGAGGCTGCAGAACGGGCCATTTTCAATGACATAGCACGGTGTCGCGGGCCGTCTTCTCCAGAGCTGTGTATTCCAACATACCATCCGCTCGATCCGTCTCCACGAAGGCGCGCCCGAGAACAGGGCAGCAGACAGCACAATGACGACACTACTGCGGCCGTCTACGAGGCAGCTCGCGCGCTCGGCGACGTTGTTCCTGCGGGCCTCCTCGTCGAGGACGAATCCCAGAGTGGCATCGCGTCTCTCTCGAATACAACCGTCCACATACTGTCTCGTGCAGAAGGGACGGCTATACTCGACGGAGCCGCCACGACAGAACAATACAGATAAAGATGGGAAGAAGACCGAGGATGACGCTCAGAAGGACGTAAAGAAGGAAGCGTCACCAGAAGGACCTGAAGATGGAAAGGTCAATGCCTCCGAAGCTGGCAAGGAGCCGACACAGATGCCCGAGGGATGGGTCAAGTTGTCGGACCAGGAGCTGTTAGCTCTTGAGAAGATGTTTGACCTAGCTCCGGAGCCGCAAAGGAAGATGGTTCAAGAAGTCGTGGAGGAGATCAAGAAGACCGGTGCGCCGAAGGAGCTAAAGGATCTGCTGGTGAAGGCTATGGCCCACGGATTGAGCATTGGCGACTCCATGAATGCACTTCGGGTGGCCCATAAGCTGGCGCAGAGAATGGCAGAGAAGGAAAAGGACTCTGGCATGTTCGACTCCAAGGAGCCTCGAGTAGGACAGGATCAGCAGCAGCAAGATGGAAGCTCGAAAGGACAAGGCGAGCAGGGCAAGCAGGGTGGCCCTCGGGTTTACGACCTGAGCGAGTTTGCTACCTGGGCTGTTGCTACTGCACTCTTTTATCCCTTCTACAAGATGGTGTTCCCGGGTGAAAGCTCCCGCGAAATCACCTGGCAAGAGCTTCGCAAGAACTTCCTGGATAAAGGCCTCGTCGAAAAGATGGTTGTCTTCAAGGACCGGGTCCGTGTTGAGCTTAACCGCGAGGCTACCCAGGCCATGTATCCTGACACAGTTGCCGCACAGCCTGGCTTCTTCTACTACTTCTCAATCGGGTCTGTCGACGCCTTTGAGAGGAGGCTAGAGGAGGCACAGAACGAGCTCGGTATTCCGCCTTCGGAGAGGATACCTGTTAGCTATGCCACAGAAGGCATGTTCGGCAACTTGGTCTTCGCATTCGGCCCCACCCTGCTCTTTGTTGGTCTCCTGTGGTACATGTCTCGACGTACGGGTGGTGGCATGGGTGGAGGCTCTAGCGGAGTCTTTGGCTTCGGCAAGAGCAAGGCCAAGATGTTTAATCATGAGACTGCTGTCAAGGTCAAGTTTTCCGACGTCGCTGGTATGGATGAGGCCAAGCTCGAGATCATGGAGTTCGTGAGCTTCCTCAAGTCCCCGGAGAAGTTCCAAAGACTTGGAGCAAAGATCCCTCGTGGTGCTATCCTGTCTGGTCCTCCCGGCACTGGTAAAACCCTACTCGCCAAGGCTACTGCTGGCGAGTCTGGCGTGCCTTTCTTTAGTGTCAGCGGTTCTGAATTTGTGGAGATGTTTGTTGGTGTAGGCGCGTCGCGTGTACGAGATCTTTTCCAAAACGCTCGCAAGAATGCCCCTTGTATCATTTTCATTGACGAGATCGATGCCATTGGCAAATCTCGTGGCGAGGGTGCTAGATTCGGCGGCAACGATGAGCGGGAGGCAACTCTCAACCAGATTCTTACGGAGATGGATGGTTTCAACACCTCAGAACAGGTCGTGGTGCTCGCTGGTACCAACAGACCTGATATTCTGGATAAGGCTCTTATGCGACCGGGTCGTTTTGACCGACATATCAACATCGACCGTCCGACCATGAGTGGTCGTTCGGATATCTTTAGGGTACACTTGGGTAAGATCGTCACGCACGAAGACATGGATTACCTATGTGGAAGACTCGCTGCTCTCACTCCTGGCTTTGCTGGTGCGGATATCGCCAATTGCGTCAACGAAGCCGCACTTATTGGTACGTACTACTACTGTCTACCTTTACTGTTTCTCGCTAACTGTCTGTAGCTGCCAGAGCGAACGCCCAGTCTGTTACGATGATACACTTCGAACAGGCTATCGAGCGTGTCATTGGTGGTCTCGAGAGGAAGTCTCTTGTCCTCAGCCCTGAAGAGAAGAGGACCGTCGCATATCACGAAGCTGGCCATGCAATTTGCGGCTGGTATTTCGAGTTTGCTGACCCCCTACTCAAGGTCTCTATCATCCCACGTGGTCAGGGTGCCTTGGGTTATGCGCAATATTTACCCACTGGTGATGCTTACCTCATGAACGTCAAGCAACTCATGGACCGCATGGCAATGACGCTCGGCGGCCGTGTTTCTGAGGAAATCCACTTCCCCACAGTCACCACTGGCGCCAGTGATGACTTCAAGAAAGTGACTCGCATGGCTACAACCATGGTCACTCAGTGGGGTATGTCTGAGAAGCTTGGACCCCTACACTTCGAGAACGACCAGAACCAGCTCCACAAGCCCTTTGCAGAGTCAACGTCTCAAACCATTGACTCTGAGGTGCGTCGCATTGTCGACGAGGCTTACAAACAATGCAAGGACCTACTCACTTCCAAGAAGACGGAGATCGGCCTTGTTGCCGAGGAGCTGCTCAAGAAGGAGGTGCTGACAAGAGATGACATGGTCCGACTACTAGGACCAAGACCATTCAAGGACAAGGAAGAGTTCACAAAGTACTTCAGCGGTGATGGCGGCAAGAGCGCACCTCCGCCGTTCCCAACGGAGAATACGGATGAGACGGAACACCCGCCTCAGCCAGCTGTCTTCCGGAGACACGAGGTCGAGAACAGGTAATGGCGTTTTCGGGGAGGGACATCGTGGACTCATCCTGCATGCATGCAAGCTCTCTCATCTCAACTCAAAAATTCATGTGTTATTAAAATCGGCCCGTTCACCAAACATCATTCTTCCACCGTAGTGGGGAAGAGCTTGTATATCATGGCAATGTATAGGTAGATAGACACCCGCGCCCGGATGGGGCACCACGAATAGATATCGAGGTCGGTTGACGGCTGTCGAGCATTTACTATGTCCAATGAGCATGCATAGTCGTTTGCCATACAATCCTTGGGTTGTGGTAGTCCCTGAGAAGCGTTGCGTAGCAATACGATGAACATGAGTGGCTCTGCTGGTGCCCCTGATTCATTCATGGTGTTTTTTTTTTTTCAAATAGCTAAATGCCAGCTTACCGCTAAATTTCGCCCCCCCGTGGTCCCTTAGCTTATATACCCAGTGGAGGCCCTTCACATGCGTAACAACCCTCGAGGCACCATGCCCCACGTACACCTCCCTGGAACAATCTCAATCACACGGGAAGAAGTCATCCGCATTTTCTGGCTATGGCTGCACGCGACCAAGCGCTCTCCAAGACTCGATGCCTTGCCTGAAGCCACTTTCACGAGAACTGAGCACCCCTAACTATTCGACTGTATCGAGCGCTTCCGCAACGTTGCTCCTCCCAGGATGAGCTCCTCGACCTCAAGGAATTTGAGGCGCGTCGATCCGTTCCACGACCCTGTCCCTTATCGAACATACCACATCGACAACCCGCTTTGGGATCGAGTGAGCCAGCCCGGCGTCCTGGTCCCTCTTATTATCTTATTGTGCACGATCCTATACCAGGTTGCCGTGAATCACGCTGCGTCCCGCGGTCGCCGATTGGCTTCGCCCGCTGAGCTCCTCTGGGATGCCATCGTATTCGTGATCCCGGCGCCTCTCCTGTATGCGGTTGATAACTGGGTTAACCCTCCGCTGTTCCCCCTTCCAATGGTCTCTTCTTCGGAACCTACCACACATGCGGCCAAGAGCGATGTCATGAGGCGGATTCTTGGGCTTGATAGGCCCGGCGGCATCGTGGCATCGGTGTCGCAAGCTGGCCGACGAACTCTGTCAAATGGCTTCTCCGGCGCGCTAGGGTTTAAGGGTGCCCTCAGCCAGCCGGCTGGGCTGGGGAACTGGGACAACTCTTGCTACCAGAACAGTATATTACAGGGCCTCGCATCGCTCAAGCCGCTCCCGGCGTTTCTGTCTCGGCTCGCGATAGATGGCAGCGCTGCCCGGATCAAGACAGATACCACGGAGACGCTGCGTGATCTGGTCGCCGACCTGAATCACATATCGAATAACGGAAAGACACTGTGGACGCCGGCAGTACTTAAGAACATGAGCTCGTGGCAACAGCAGGATGCGCAGGAGTACTTCTCCAAGTTGCTGGACGAGATTGACAAGGAGGCGTCGAAGACTACGAAAGCCCTGCGACGGCCCACCGGATTCGAGAGCGACAACTCGAGAGACGACACCAATGCCAGCCAGCATAGTGATGACAGCGGGTATCAAAGTCTATCGACGATCTCGAAGGGGGCGACCGACATACAGATTGTCCGAAACCCCCTCGAGGGGCTTCTAGCGCAGCGTGTCGCATGTGTTGCTTGTGGATACTCTGAGGGCTTGTCGATGATCCCGTTCAACTGCCTGACTCTCAATCTGGGCATGCACAGGACTGAATTTGACCTCTACGAGCGGTTGGACAGCTATGTACAAGTCGAGTCTATCCAGGGTGTCGAATGCACCAAGTGCACGCTACTCAAGTACCGCAACCTTTTAAACACCATTATCGAAAGAAGTCGAAAGGCTGGATGTCCAGACTCAGACTTTCCAGAGCCCCACGCAAGACTAGAAGCCATTGAGGCTGCTTTGGAGGAGGAAGATTTCGACGATAAAACGTTGAAGGCCTGCAAGATAACACCGCAGTCACGCGTGAACTCTACAAAGACAAAACAAGCCGTTATTGCTCGACCTCCCCAGAGCTTGGCGATCCATATGAACCGGTCTGTCTTTGACGAGACGACCGGCCACATGTTCAAGAACTTGGCTGGAGTTCGCTTCCCAATGACCCTGGACCTGGGTCCTTGGTGCCTCGGCAGCGCGGATGCTCTGACTTCGCAGACTGGTGGCGACAAGGCAGAGATACTCGACGAGAAATCATCTAGCGCCGTGAAGGGCGAAGAGGAGTGGCTACTAGACCCGACGGCTTCAATGGTAGCTGGGGATCTCCACCCGTCTAAGATCACCGGCCCTATATATGAGCTTCGAGCAGTTGTCACGCATTACGGGAGGCACGAAAACGGCCACTATATTTGTTACAGAAAACATCCCCGAGCTTCCGCCGTAAGGGAGGAGAACGGTGGCCTGGAGAAATCTAATCAGCCAGCTCAGTTGGCCCCCGAGGAGCATTCCGATGATGTTTCCAGCATCCACGAGAAAGAACCCGGAGATGAAGACCAGTTCCTTGACGCAGTGGAGACACCAGACGAAGACCCACAGACTGGTTCTCAGTGGTGGCGCCTTTCTGACCAGGACGTGACTCCGGTCACTGAGGAAACGGTCCTTGCTCAGGGCGGCGTCTTCATGCTGTTTTATGATTGCGTAGACCCGAATTCTGTTCTGACTTCCGAAGTCGATGTCGTAACGGAGCCAACATCGAAAGAGCCATCCACAAATGAAATTGCACCTATCACGTCCGCGAATATCGATGTCGACACTACAGAGGGCGGAAATGTCCAGGGGTCACCAGCTCAAGATAGTACGGCACAAGTGGAAGAGACTCTGAAAATAGCCCAAAACGTGCCGCTACCCCATGGGGATGACGGACTTGATGAATATGTTGATTCGATGGAGGATCCTGCCGAAGGCTCTGAAGCAAAGAGCTTATGATTCGATGAGTGGTAATAAAGTAGTAAGGAACACCTCATCATGGGATCTGACGGTTATGTTTGTTTTGCATAGCGCTGGTGTTATGGGCCCTTATTCAACACATAATGTGTGCGAAAGGGGCATACGGGTCCTTCATTGATGGATATACCAAACAGAACTAAATTCACTATTGTTCTTCTAATATCCCGAAACCTACTGTATCACATGAGAGTAGCCCGCGAATGTGGGATCTCCCTGGTATCACAGGCCTAGCAAGCCCACTCTATCCTCTCTAAACATTGTCGAGAACGCCAACCCCCTTAGCCCCTGGTCCAGCCCCAACAGGTGAAGACCTCGTCCAACCCACCCGACCTACACTATCGTATTCTATACGAAAACTTTGTGAAAGGGCAGTTTTTTGACGGCGTGGATTGTGATCTAATTGATGGGATCACTGCAATCTGGATCATGTTATGCCGTTGTGCTGTCTATTCCCTTGGAGGCATCAATGTCCCTAAAGTTGGCGTTTGGCGGATCGCGATCAAGCATGTAAGCGTACTTCTCGGAGTTGGCGAGTAAGAAATCTGGAACATCCCTATTGTGTTCGACACGGGTGCAATTGGCACGGTCGAATCTGTAGGAAAAGGGTCGAGGTTAGTATCAACGCTATGCCTCCTGAAAGTAAAAGCTTATAAGACTAGAAACTCAAACAAGTTTCAAGGGCCAATATCACAAAAAGCAAAGACACTGTAAGGAATTGCATGGGTGACTTACGCATCAATGCCATTTCGCACACGCTCTAATACCCTCTTCGGATCTTTGAACTCGGGCTTGTCCATCTCTGTGTGCGAGAAGCTCGTGATCTTGCCGGCCAATTCCTTGATTGTGCTAAAGCAGTAACTACAATGCCATGCTCCCTCGAAGAACTTATAGTCCCCGGCGTTGTGGCGCAGGTCATCCGGCAACACCGTGTCCTTGCCCTTCTCACCGCGGTATACTGTCGCCTGTGGATGGTCCCAGTTCGCATTGCTGAGCCATTGATAGCTGTAGTACATCAGCTTGGAACTCGCAGTCACACGCTGCGGAGCATTGCAGTTGCGTAGAACCTGGACTGTTGCCGGCTTGAAAAGCTCGTCGACGTCTGAGACGAGGAGGACATCGTCCTCGTGCGCTTCCTGGTCGCCTGTGAGGAAGGGGACCACCTGGCTGAACATGGCATTGCGCGATGCCGACTCTCGGTTCCACGCATTCTGGAAATCGCCAGTTGTGAGATCCATCGTTCGACGTATCATCTGCTTGTGATATGGTTTGAAGAGATCCCAGTTCTCCTCTACGTAGAGCGGCTTTTGCTTGTCCGTGAAGGTACGGTCGGACTCGAGAATTATGAAATAATCAATATAGGGGGCCATCTGACCTAGACGTATTTCGAGCAGCTCTATCTCCGTATTGATGAGCAGCAGATCGTAGACCTTCCGTTCCCTGACACGGTCACGGGGAAAAGCCGGTAAGCGGAAGTTGGAACAGAGTTGCTGAGCGGCATCAAGATCCAGGACATCTGGATGCAGCCCTTCGATACCGCCTGCGCCATGATGAGTCTTCGGGACTGCTCCTGACTGTAGATTTGGGAACCCGGAGAGATAACCGTCACCAGGCAGGCCATGTAGATAGAAGAACCATATTAGCACCAGGGCACTGGCGGCTGCTAGAAACTTGATCTGATGGTTGGCAAGAGCCTTATACATGGCTGGAGAGTTTTAAAGGGCAACACATGTAGAGGAAAGAGAGAGAAATAGCGGCAGAGAGAAAATAAAGAGAGCTTTGCACGCAAGTCTACAAAGACAGTCGGCAGTGGGGAATCAGTATTGGCTTGTATAGAGCCCGGGATCTGAGAAACACTAAAGAATACGGCTGGGAAGGGACAAAAGCCTAACTGAAAAACATTGGTCTCAGGCATTTCGTGAGCTCTGAAGGATCTGGGGCAGGCTGTCAGCAAGGAAAGAATCATCTCCGAAGAGCATCAGCCTAGCCAAAGGTGTACATTGCATACATATCACTTCAACAAGAGTGGCGAGGCGCCTGCCAGCCCACGGCCCAAACCCGATCACGACACTCCTTACCATCATGTCCGAGTCGTTCTTCGAAGGACCGGAGCTGGAAAGAAGCAGTTAACTAAAAGTATACAGCGCACTTGCTCACAGCCACAAATGTGACATAAGGTGTAGACGACCAAAAAGAGCGCATGAGGTTCTCGTATCCTGAACCGAACATCAGTGAGCCAAGCTCGGCCCAGTGCAAATTGAGTTCAGCTCCGCGTAGTCCCAAAGATGAGCCAAGCAGAATCGGGCCATATAGCGCCATGATGTAGTAGGGATGTCTGCGAGTGTCCGAATCGAAGGGGTGGAGTGTATTGGCAAGAGGAGACCACTCAGGCCGAGTCCACGAGCTGGTGTAACTAAGATTATGTCCCAATCCTAGGTGGTTGAAGCCGCCGACAGAGCCTGTACCGCACACGGGACGTGCGCAGTATTGCTTTCCTGTTCCTTGGCTCTCACTGCCAAACGGTTCACAGCATATCCTTACCAGCATCGAGAGGGTTCTTGTGTTACACGTGCACTGTATCGGAGGCAGATTGTCTCTCGTAGGGCTTAAAATCAGACAAGCTCTGCCCACGATCTTGTTGGCGAGCGGTGGAGAAATGGAACAGATAGAAAGGGCCCTGTCAGTCGCCGCGACCCCAACCCATGCGGCCTACCGAGACAACCTTAACCAGCTCGCTGTCATCGACCTATCCTAGGGTCCAAAGCGAAATGACGTTCCAGGGTACCGAATTCCATCCGTGGAAAGAGGACGGGAAACGAACACACCACCTCAAACAACCATTTCGCTGCAAGCCAATAGAAAGAAATAGGACAGCGGAACGCTCGGGCTGGCAACGCAGCGCTTCCTTCGTGATGCATGACAGGAGCAACGGTCCGCCATCGTGTGCTGTTGATCTTCCAGGCAGTCGTTATCTTTCGCCCAACTGACGTCTGCCCACCTGGTTCCTGCAAGGCCGTTGGCACGCTCCCGAGGGCCGAAAAAGGACGGAGGATGACATCTCGAGCTTTCTACATTTGGTCTGGCATGCCTCGAGTGCGCTCGGAAAGGAACCGCAACTGGCAGTGTCGGAAAGGTAGCCGTGGTAGCTTAACCTCCCCGCTTGGTGGCCGATGGCCTACTGCGTACTCTCACAGTCTTGGGGTGCATTGGCGAAGTCCAAGGTGGTCTAGAGCGCATGCTATTTTCAGAGCGCCTCCCATGTCCTCGGTCCATATTGTACAGCACCAGCTTAATGTTTCTTGAGTGATGAAAGCTGCGGCTCTAACCGGGAAGGCAGTTAGTGTGGTGTCGCTGTGCTCGCGGGGCAATTTTAATCGTGCACCCTGGCGGCGATCCACCCCTGATGAATCCGGGGGTTGCTTGGTGGGAAAGCTCGTATTTGATCCTCCCCGTCGGGCAGGCAGACATCGATCGATCAATCAGCAGGGCGAATTGTCTTGTGCTGCGGAATATCGTCGAGTAATGAATCATACGAGCTCCAGCACGTGCAGCCCAAGACTCGTCCACTGGCCGGCCCCCCCTTCCATGCAGTCAGGAAATCAAACATCATATCTTTTGCAGGGTGAAAAGAAGGCAAGGAGGAGAAATGAAGCTCAATCCGTACCTGACGCTAACCGACATCGTGGTTCGGATGCACACAGATTCAACTTTGTATTAGTTTAAGGTTAGGTGCATTGTCCAGTGCTGCCTTTTCAGCAAGTTGCCCCTGATGAGGGGCTTCCCAAATAGGCCCAGATTGCCCAGCATAACACAGCCAGCTCGCTGATCTGCCGTTTCCTTACCTCACCCTGCCTTCCTTTAGTCACGCAAAACCCACTCAATAGCCCCAGCAGCATGCCCACATGCTAAGGCATTCTGCTAGGACAGTTAGTTAAAAGAGCGAGCGATCAGCTGCAAAGCCACTTGCACAGCTCCTTCCTTCTACCAGGCGGCAGCTATTCATTTGTGTGAGCACCCTCGTGTCGGTCGAACTTTCCAATTCAACTCTGCATCTTCGTCTTTTCACTTCGCGACTTCCCATCTTGCGAGTTTCGACATTCACGTAGACGACCATTGTGAGATCATTCGCGACCGGCAGCTTTCTCAAGATCGACCGCGTTAAGCTTCACTAGCAGGACGCAAGGGAGGGGCCCGCAAGGCTTAGCTCTCCCTTCCAGGCGACCGCGAATTTACTTTGGCAGTAGTGTCCAGAACGCGGCGAGCTGACGAGTAGCGCCTACCTGTTCAAAAGGATACTTCACCAATCCACGACGACGACGCGCAGCCTTTGTTCTTTCCTTGGATATCTGCATTTCCTACCTCGCCCAACGCCAACGACAGTCGTTCTTTCCTTCGTGTTTGCCATTGACCCGCGCCGGAGCAGCTCTCATTCCCTACACAGCTCTTGCCCCGGCCTGATAGCTACCCGCCGCCTCGGCGACTGTCCCGTCCTCTGCACCTTTCCCCCGGGGTTTCCGCCCCCTGTCAGGGACGCATCGCAGGCATCATGTCCGGGTCCAGTCTTCCAGTGACCGAGAAGCATTCGCCTCCTGCTGGCCCACCTCTGCATCCAGCGTTCTACATTGCGTAAGATATTTCCTCCTAACTGATAGATCGCTTGATGCTGACTTCTCCCTTCGTAAAGGAGCTGGATCTTCTTCTCAAACCTCACCATCCTTTTTAATAAGTGGCTACTTGATACTGCCGGCTTCCGTACGTTTTCCTCTCGTCTCATTCTTTACATGTACCTTTCTTACTAACCTCTCATTATAGGTTATCGTGGGTCAACCTTGATTCCCCAAATGTGGAATTATATCTGCTAACCCATGTTGCAGCCGTGATTCTGACTTGCTGGCACCTGGTCTTTGCGGCTATAGTAACTCAGATCCTGGCCCGGACGACAAAGCTCCTTGATGGCCGCAAGAATGTTAAAATGACAGGTCGCGTTTACCTACGTGCTGTCATGCCCATCGGGCTCCTCTATAGCGGCAGCTTGGTGTGCAGCAATCTTGTCTACTTATATCTCAGCGTCCCCTTCATCCAGATGCTCAAGGTGCGTGCCCCGGTGGCTCATGTTGTTTTCTCTTCTCGCTGACATGTAAAAAGGCCGCAGCACCAGTAGCCGTGTTGATCTGCAGCTGGATTTGGGGCGTAGCAAATCCTAGTGTGAAGACATTTCTCAATGTCATGATCATCGTATTTGGTGTTGGCCTAGCCAGTGTTGGTGAGATTGCATTCAGCTGGATGGGCTTCATCTTCCAAGTTGGCGGCATCGTTTTCGAGGCTATGAGGCTTGTGATGATCCAGGTCATGCTCTCTGAGGAAGGTCAGGGGATGGACCCCCTTGTCAGCCTCTACTACTACGCACCAGTCTGTGCTGTGATGAACTTCATCGTGGCCTGGCTGAGCGAGGCCAGCAAGTTTGAATGGGAGGACCTCTACCAGACGGGAATGGGCATCCTACTGCTCAACGCAGCCGTTGCCTTCATGCTCAATGTCTCGAGCGTCTTCCTGATTGGGAAGACCAGCGGCCTTGTGATGACGTTGACGGGCATCTTAAAGAACATTCTCCTAATTGTTGCCGGTGTAATGATATGGGGAACATCGATCACGGCTCTCCAGCTCTTCGGATACATGATCGCACTTGGCGGCCTAGTCTATTATTCTCTAGGTTGGGAGCAGATCATGACGCTCTCGCAAGGCGCCGGCACGTGGGCAAAAAATATGTGGGAGTCGCCTTCACTCGACGAGAGCCGCCTTTCACCCCTCGTCAAGCGGACGATCATGATGGTCCTCGCCTTCTTCATCGGCGCACTTCTCATTGGTGGTTTCTTGTACAGCGGCTCGGATTCAGTACAGGTTTCTGCGCGGGCGTCGTAGGGGTCGGTCCCAGATGTCCTCCTGTGCGCGATTGGGTTGGGTTTGTTATGACACTTGTCTTGGTACATTAAATAAGAAGAGAATCATGGAGCAAAGGCGTTATCAGGATTTGGGTCATCGGTCAGAAGGTGGTATTCTACATATGGCGGGACATGATGGAGTCAAGACTCCGAGAGTACAGTCAGTGCATCTAACATAGGATAGACCCTGAAAAAATATTAGTACTGAATGGTGACAAGATTGCCCATTATACCACATGTTCTGATACTCTGTAACTCTACTTGGAATCTCAGCGGCAAGCTTGTCAGAGTGGAGGCTCCGCTCAGTAGAATTGGTCCAGCTGACTAAGCCACAGCAGGTGGGGATCCACACTCAATGAGCCTGATCACATTGAAGAGGCAAGCATCAAGGGAAGGGCGCAAGGACAAAGCTTTCTTTTATTCGGATAGGTAATGACAGTCTTGACTTTTCGATCCAGAAATACTCTGTTGGCCTCCAACGATCCACAGATACCGGAAAAGCTCTTTCGACCGCCTTACTTTCCTTGGCTGCCGGAATCTATACAATCCCAGAGAGGTGTCGGTGAGGGGCCTGGCATGCTTCCAGACAGGACAGCCGGAATACGGGACAAGTCGAATGGATGATATCGCGATATATAATGAGAATGAGAACGGGCACTGTACTTGCTGTCAGCACGCTCTGGCTTGGATTTCGGACGTCTGCAACCTCTCCGTAATGAAGGATTCGGCAAAACGTACGTCATGACTAGTGCAGACCACTAGGTGAAGTCTAGAAAGCTAGATCTTCGGCACGAGTTAGGATGCTGGCTTTGGCGGTGGCTTCGGCGTTGGTTTTGGTAAGATCACAAGTATCCCTTTCCCCTTTGCTTTCCCTTTCTTTGCCTCTCTAGGGGCCATGGCTTGCAAACAAAGTAGCGCTGGCGAATACACGGGGAAAGGGGAGAAGAAACGATAAGGAAGGAAGAGAAGCAGCAACTGAGGTGGTTAAGACCTCACAGCAGAAGAAAGCGGAGGAAACTTGAGGAATGCTTATCAGTGCTGGGCTATCCTTGCCATACACCGTTTGGCAATTGGGAGCAACATAGGTGATCACACCCATGCATGGCAGAGATTTCCGATTGTCCATGGGCCGTTAGGGAACACTCGTCTTTATGAATGCCTTTTTTTGTCTCAAGGTAAAGCATATCGTCCAGCGACCCCAGATTCAGAGAACGTGGGTACAGCTTCCTTCGCTGTCCAAACCTTGCCTCCACTGTGACAGGTAGCAGCCGGCAAGGCCATTGTAATGCGAATAATTTTTGTTCAGTAGCTGTGCCTTGCAATTTCTCGAGGACAAAATGAGGTTCAACCCAGCTGTCAGTCTTTAGTCGTAGCAGGAATGCTCGATAGTGACCACCATCAAAGGCGCTGATATGGTGTAATGTTTTACCCACGGGTTCCAAGACCTCGAGTGATTTGGTCTTGGTCCAAGTGGCATTAAGAAAGAAGGCTAATAACCCAATCTTCGTGAATTAAGAGTTTGTGGCCACTGCGATTTCAGCCTCCACTCGGAGATGCTAGAACCGACGAGAAGTAGGACCACAACCCTCTACATCTCCAGATGATTTGAGATGCTCAATCACCCCATCCCAATGCATTCATTTTTCCCCCCAGCATGCCGACAAAGCTATTTAGACTTGACATGGATCGAACCACTTTGCTTTGGGGTCGGGAGGCAAGAGAAACTCTGTACTAGGCAGGATTGAGGAACCACTATAACTCGAGCATGGCATCTGCGATTACTTGTGGTCTTTACCATTCTAAGTTAGGAGGTATCCAAAAATTTAGGATCGCGATGATTCTCACCGACTCTAGCCTCACTTCTCACCCACAGGACCAAGTTGCGATTTCGAGCCGCCATTTTCTCTTCGTCGAATTGACTGTGCACCTTCGCATTCAATTATTCATTATCCCAAGAAGCCAAGAATAAAGAACACGCTTCTCATGATGACGGCAATAGTTCTAGTGGAGGGCGATTGCGTGTTTGCTGTGGCGGACATCGTTTGAAGGTTGAGTTCGGGTGTAAGATCAACTCGCTATGACAGTCGTGATAGCACGTCGTCGAGCGTCGTCATTTAAAAGTGATGGTGGGAAATGCAAACCGCCCCACGAAACTCACCTGCTTAATTGGATAATTCGCTCTTGGTGAATGTGAGACCGCCAGCCAAGTGACCTCCCAACTAGCCGCTAACAAATCCTGGTTTGGCTACCACCAATAAGTGTTAGTTAGGGTGACACAGACATGCCTTGCCTGATTTAGTAATGCAGAATCCCAGTAAATCAATCAGGAAAGCCTCACCTTTTCATTCAATTTGGCTAAAAACAGCGTTCATGGATTAACAAAGAATATACAATGCACACTGTTTTAATTCAATTATTTTATGACTGGTTGTAAAGATATTGAGCGATTAAGCTTAATGAGGTGTTCAAAATATCATCGGTCCACAGGCCTTGTGGCTAGCAGTCGCACTCAAGTGGAAGTGGTGGAGGCACGTGCCTTACTAGGTATCACCTACCTACCTTTTTTTCTCCTTCTCTCAACTATATATATTCGCCTTCAAGGAAACGATAGCCACGCCTAATCACAGAGCATGTCTCATGACTTTTCAATCTTGGTTTTTGAAAATCGCAAGGATCTGAGCCGGCCCTTGACCACTACATGGGATTGCAATAGGTCTCGCGGGGTGTCCAGCCTCGTCACTAACAGAAGTGATCACCGAATCAAGTTACTGTAAGCGATGATACGACCAACAGAGGTAAGGATATATTGGAATGCGGCGACCCTTGAGCACCGTTGCAGTGATCAGCATGAGAGTAACACAGACTCAATGTATTCCGTGCTGTCAGACAAGCATCTCACCGGATATTGATTGTCAATTAGAACTCGGGATGAGAAAGACTGTGATCTTTCGTTGGGTTTCGACCTGGCGATATCAAAGCATCGTCTGATGCAAAATCTGAGGCCTCGCCGATTCATGAGTCAGCCTAAGAAAGCCTTACTGAGAAAAGCTTAGACACTTCTTACTTGCATGGTAATATCTAGTTAGGCTTCTTGCAATGTCTGGCACGCATCGAAGGGCGAAGGTGTGCTTGTCACTGCCGGGACTGCGGCCGGAATGTTGACTTGGCGGCTTTGAAATGCCTGTGATTCTCAGCAAATGATATTTGCACACATCCCCGTGTGGCACTGGTGCATTCACACACAGCCTGATCTGCCCAAAAGAACACTTTGGACGCTAGCAATTCCAGCCCCATCTTTCAGATCTCGTGTATATGAAGGACATGGTGCCTACAGTTTAGATTTCATTGCCGTGCGCGGCTGTAAATCACATAACAACATTGGACAGCTATGCCGGACACTTTCACGCAGCTCAGCGTTGCGGAGTTTGGAGGACTCTCTTCCTTCGTCGACGGCAATCAGGAGCATAGAGCAATGGACCGAGACTTGGCGAATTCAAGAATTGATGTAACTGACCAGATAGTGAGTAAGTTACTATCAGAATACTTGATAGAAAACTTAACAAACTTGTTCTGACACTATCAGCCTCAATCGGGCCCAGTGTTGACATACCGCTTGGTGGGTGGAAAGCTGAACCAGCGACCAAATATGTATCTAACATGCAACATCAGAAGCACAAACTGGCCATTTGGGTCTCGCCAGCCTCAAAAGCTATGATGATCGTTTCGGCTTCTATAAGCATTTTCCCAGTGAAATATCTCGTTCACTTGACGAATTGGCATTCCAAATCCAGCACTTAATCCATGAGCGCGAAGACCTTGAACGGAAAACTCAAGTCAAGTACAATAAAGAGCCAGCAGCATTGCCGCGCAAACACAGGCTTCGTAGGCGCCATGAGCGCGTGAAGAAGAAGCTTCTTAATACACTGTTCTTTCATCGTGAGCCGAATGTTCCGAGTTAGTTGATCAATGAACTGATGTCTTTTACTTTCGTCCACAGTTAATTGGTGCATCAAAGCAAATATCATTTTTGGCTATGCCGAGCCGAAGAAAGAAAGTGTAGAACAGCTGAGACTATGGGCTGGTCAACGCTTTCCCGAACAGCTTGCTATGTTTTCAGGAACTGATCCGGAAGATTTCAAGCTTCTCCGACCTAAGAGAAGCAGTATCGATGGCTTTGTCAAGAGCTGGCCGAACAGCAAGCTGGGACGTGCTGTGCTCGTAAGTTGGCGATAATATATCTCATCCTACCAGCCCCTGACAAATGGCAGAGCTGCCTGAGGAAGAAAGGTCCCAGTTGCAGCGATCTACGATTCCGTAACTATAGCGAAAATTCCACAGCCGTTGTAGTAACAGTTCTCATACAACTGGGTTTAGTCATGTTCTTCTTACTACCTCTCTCTTTAATCTCTTATCACGCTTTAAGTGGTGTTGTCGGTGTGTCATTGATCGTAAGCCTTTGCTTTTTGGTTTGCTTGCTGGCTCATATCATGTATGACCGTGAAGATCTGAAATTCCTCATTGTATTTGCTTATGGGGCCATCATGGCGGCTTTTCTTAGTCCGACTAGGTAAGAAAATGTGCATGGTATTCAAGATAACTTGCCGAAGACTTGAAGACGAGATGGGAAATCTGACGTAGGATCATAGCAAGGGAATGGAAGGTAGTGAGCCATCTGTATTCGGGAGACTAGCTGTAGGAGAAGACGTGTTGTTTTCAGGGGCTTTTTGTACAACTCCACGTAGCTGGAGCAGTATCAGGGCACTAAAAGTCCTTCAAGCAAATGCGACCATCACCCTACGAGACTTGAATTTGACAGGCAAATAGTAATGTTACCAAACACAGTCGCCCCAATCTTTACACCTGTGTCTTCGCCCATTCGAATGAAACTCCTTATATTTGTACATCAACAGTAAGAGCGGCGCAGGTCAGTGATAGGGGAGCCTTGTGCGTGGCTGTCTTTGTCAAGTGTGACGTGAAAAT